AAAACTGTGCATGTCATAAAATGGACTATAAATGAAAACGAGACTGGCATAAAAAATACTGCGTAATCCCCGTCTTATAGTCTAATTTGCTTAGTTATCAATTTTGTAATGTCGAATAACTATTTTTTCTAAATTCTAAAGCATTAAGGAGGTCACATGACCATTTTTCTCAAGAATGTAAGGGTTGTGTGGGTTCCCTGTTGTAGAAATCCAAGTTAATACAAATTTTATCTTTCAGAGCCATATTTATTGGGTTTTTGATAATAAAAAAACATTTAATAATCTCTAAAGATCTGTAAGTGCCATATCATATCGTCTAATATTTTAAATAAGTTTTATCATTCTTTTATTAAAAGTTTGCTGACCTTTTCTTTTATCTGTTGGTTTTATGGATTATCTGTGAAAGACAAGAACAGTCTGAACCAGATTGTAAAAGTTTGCAGCAAAGTCAGTGGTGTTCAGATGGAGGTTTTGGCCTCTGTGTGGAGACATTGGGTGTTACAAAAGACTAAGGCCATACTGAGCCAGCCTAACCATGTTTTGCGCTCACAGTTCATGAAAATGCCCTCTGGGAGGTGTCACCCCACAGCAAAAGACTAACCGCTACGCCAAATCTTTTATTCCTTCTGCCATAAGGATTTTAAATGGAAAGTGAATTTGTTACTGTGTCCCTGATGCACTGTGGTTCGAACCTCTAGTGTCTGTTTTTCTTTTTCTTTATTATTTATATTTATATATTGTGCATGACCAGAGATGTGCAAACTACATTGCCCTTTGGGATTAATAAAGTTGTTGATTGATTGATTGATTGATATTTCATAATGATAATTAAATTCTGCATGAAAGTGAGGCTTAACCTCAAACAAGTGTTGGTCTTCAGAAAATACAGAAATGTGCTGTAGTGTGGTAATCAATATCACAGTAGATACAATATTTACAGAAGTGATATCTCCAGTATCAGCATTTTAGCATGTGTTTCTGGAAAGGCAGAAGTATTTGATGAACCACAGCTTCTAAGAAAGAAAGCGAAAATGTCTCTGTTTTGGGAAAAATTTTCCCATACTCCATCATAGACTCTTCTGCTCATTTATCAGCCCAACTGGTTATGTTTTGACTCAAGTTATAAGCACATTAGGTGCCTCCATAACCAGGCCTCTCCATACCTCACTGACCTCCTCCATCCCCACCACCTGTCCTGCAGACTCTGATCAGTTGACTCAAGTCTCCTCACTCCCACAGTCAAATCAAAGCACCAGACCTTGGGGGACCAAGCCTTTGGCATTGCTGGCCCAACTCTCTGGAACTCTTCCCCTCCACATCAGAATCTCAGACTTACTAAATACCTTCAAAAAAGTGCTCAAAGATCACCTTTTCCTCATGGCCTCTAACCCCCCCAAATTACTGTTTCCTCACTACTTGAGTTTGTTTGTCCTGTCCTTTGTATTGTGAAGTGTCTGAGTTACTATGAAAAGCACTGTATAAAACAGAGGTATTATTATTATTATTGTTCATTATGAGTTGTTCAAATTAAGTTTTGGAGTGCAGCCAGGGAAGCTTCAGAAAAAAAACTGGACTTCCATAGCTATTGGCAACTCATTAAAATGTTTTTATTTATTCAGGTGTGTTTGTTAAAAGAGTCTATGAGTGGTTGTACCTAAAATGCAATAATGATGCAATCCTAAATAATATGATTTACAGTCAGTATTCGGGGCAGTGTGTGAACTTCTCTGATTCATTCCTAACCTGTCAGGTGTTTTCATGGTGCCCTCTGGAAAATGATAGATTTGCCAAAGTGAGATTCAAAATTCAAGTTTCACTTGTGAGTAATCATAGAGAATCAATAATGTAAACACATCCTGTTTGAAGGGCTGTGAGTTTCACCATAAATCAGGCCCCAATTGCTCAATTTTTCACCTCAAATACATAGTTTCTAAGGCAGGAGAGGACTTTCAGGAAATGGCAGTAAAGGTACAAAATCTCTTTTGTGACATTTGGGGTGGGTGGTTGTGTTGATAAATACATCATGTTTTTGTCACTCAAAGTGCACTTTGAATTTCACACATAATATGGATATGCTCATTCATACTGTGTGCAGGCACAGACAGCAATGGAAGTACAGTGTCTTGCCCAAGGACACAAAATATAGGGGCCAAACTACCAACCTGGGTTACTGTCTTTGCCAACTGAGTAATTTCTGCCTTTGAATGAAAATAGAGTCAATTGTCCCTGATAATTATCTCACTGTAACATTAGCCACATAACTCTGAGAAGAAAAACAGAGATTCAACATAAATATTTTCTTGAGAAAAGAGATGTATATATTTTCTCCCACTTGATGGTTGGTGGTTCTATTACATCTATAATATTACTGTATTGTATACTGTCATTGTAAATTGTGCTGTTAGGCAAAACACATCACCATCTTTGTTGTATGGATAGGCGTTTCGGTTATTGATGTCTCTATCAGACATATGGTTTAATCCAGGACTTTTCTCAATATGTTTTTTATATTTCAAATATTTGTATTAGCATTTTTTTTAAATACATAAACAGTGTGAGTGGCATAACATCACCTATAAAACAAATTGGTTGTTCTTTTTTCCCATATGGCATCGAAAATTGAGAATACATATTCTTCTTTATAACCTATGTGATAATTTAACATTATCCCCTCCCCCCCCCAAAAAAGATGGTTTAAACAGTAATTTAACTACCAACCTCGTTTCCATTTAACCATTTCGTGACATGTGTAGTACTCGGCTCCAGGGACTTAATCTTGGTTCCATATCCAGAAATGTTGGTCCTAGGAATGTTAATAATCTGGCGCAGTTTATACTTGTACCATAAAAGTGAACAATTGGGCACTTTTTTGGTCCTTAACTGCTTCACTAATGTAAAGCTGAAGCATATATCACTAGTCCAAGAAGAATTTGTATTGAAGTCCTACTGATTTTGTATTTATTTTAGGATTTTTTTAAATTTGTGTGCCAGATTCACTCCAGAATTCAGTGAGGTTGATTTGGCTAAAAATAAGTGGGTTACAGTTTTCCCTTTGGAGTTCCTTTTTAACAGATGGAGTACAGAGAAAAACAAATAAAGAAAAGGTTAACTGGAGACAGTCCGATTGAACTGCCTCCAAAACTGTAGAAACTTTGAATGGACTGGTCATCCTCAAACCACCAATTAATTCATTCAGTGCATTATCCCATGCTTCATGTTCTCCATATAAATAATTACAAATGCAATAAAATAATAGTTAATTAATTAAAATATATATTGAGATAACATTAACCAATTATTTGACAAAGTGACTAAAGGCAGCAGCTCTCAAGTCTATTGCCTCTTCCAATAATAAAGTCATAAAACCATAAATGCAGTCCCTTTGGTGTGATTGTGTAAGGTCAGTGTGCGGGGAATGTTTCTATGGTTTTGTTCCTCCTCTATACCCTATCTTTATTTATCATTGTCCTTGGGTGTGAAAGTAAAAAGCATATTTGTGGGAGTAAATGAGTTAAGCAAAAAAGGAAAAAAGTTAAATCTACTCATGTTTGGTCAAGTCCTTATCTGAAGGAGGCATTACTAATTTGTCTTAAAGGTTTATTGTGTAACTTTTCTGGTGGAAGATCTGCTACAAGCTTTTTTTATGCTTTGTCTGAAATGTTTCACAGTGTGGCATTAAACCTTTCTATCGACACCAAACCAGGCCAAGTTACTGGTTAGATCTGTGGAGAGGCAGTCAGAATACCTGTTTTAGGTATTTCTGAGCAATAAAACCACCTGCAATTGAAAGTAGATCTGTTTCATACCATATTGTGGAACATTTGAAGCAGAGCAATGGCATATCCATAGAAACAAAAAGGTGGCAGAGACCCAGTCAAAAAGTTACATAGTTCACATTTAAGCTGAGGCAAAAATTATAGTATTGTATGTTTTATTATTTATTTATTTTTTTTATTATATATTTTCTGTCAGTACGCTTAGGCCTACGCATTGCTGTCAGAGGTCCCAACGAGCCTCTTGAACCTCAGCTACATCTTCTGCTGAACAAACAGGTAGCACCTTTCAGAGACATTGTTATCTTTAGATTATTTATACACTATATAAATACAGTAATAGGATATTCTAAATGATCAAGTTATTGTTCAAGATGAATTACACAGTAGAAGAATAATGCCTTCCTGTTGGAGGTTACAATGACTTGAAATAAATGCCTGACCTAAAACAACAAACTGAGTCCCAAATCAATATTTAGCTTCAACAGTCTAAAGAGCAAAGGGTAAATACACAACCTCTACTTTAAACAGAGAACTGATGTCCACATATACACACATTCATAGAAAGTAGAACAGGGCTATGGGTGAGACCACAATTAATTAACAGAACACAGAAGATTAGAGGGATTAGGTTGTGACAGCAGAGTTTGGTGTAGTGGGTGAATCAATAATGAAAGGCATTTTGAGTTAACACTAAATAGAAGTGAAGTTGCCGTAAGTATTTCAAGTTGGTTCTCATGATTGTTTTGTTGTTTCTTTCCCCCTTAAGGCTGGACTCTACAATGTCGGAAACAAGGCAGGACTATTCTCCATGAGGGTCCTGGAAATCAAAAGAGTCTCCACCACATCCTGAATTTGTCTGTGCCACTATATCTTTTGAGATGTTTACCATATCCTCCTTGTTCCTATACCTAATTATTAATCTTTAAATGTGTTCAAGATAATATGTTAAAACATTACCAAAATAAAGTACATTTGAGAGTATTTGGTTTATGTAGCCTGATTTATTTTAAATTAAATTGTGTTGGTATGAAGCGCTGATAAATGTTAAAACAACTTAAAAACAAACAGCTTACTCGCCTATAACAAGGTGGAAAGGAATCTAAAATGAGTTAACTGCCTAAGTATTTGTCCAGCTTAAAAACATAATTGATAAGTCTTTTTACCCTCAATTTGGCTGTCCAGTGGCGCTGTGCTTTGAACCTTAGTCCCGCCCCATCTGCTGTCGTCTCCATCGTGGGTGGTTCCTGTGCGTCCGGACCGGAAGTTGCTGGTGCAAGTTTGCACGTTCAAAGGGGATCCGCGCAGCCGTGATTTCACCTCTGCGATGGCTGAGCCGGGTCCTCGTGAAGACACAGTTCCCGAAGAAGAGAAGGAGTTTCAGAAGATTTTAGCTGAAATAGGAGGAAGAGAAAAGATACACCTGGTCAGCGACGTTGGTAAAAGTAAAGAGGACGATGACGCTGGGATTTTACAAGAGTTCCTTCGCGGCGTTTTTGGTCAAACCAGCTTCCCAAACGGACATCCACATTCCGCATTAAGTAGCAATCACTGTGACATTGAAGACGAGAAGCCTACATCCTGCAAAACAGGACCAGCCACGGAACTGCCTTTAACCGTGAGACCAAAAGCTATGACCAACCCAAGTGAAGAAATAGGGAGAGAAAAGCGCAATGGCAGCCAGAAAACTGTGTGGAGAAGGGACATTTACAACACAAAAAGAATTATCGACTGTCCTGTCATTATATTCATTTTTAGGAATACCTTTTTGAACTGTCATTCAAATCTGGTGTGCTTAAAAGAGATCCTGAGAGACGTAAAGGCGCGGACAAAGCATGCCAAAAATGCACAGCCAGCTCTCATTGGATTAATACGGTCGAGTTTGGAGAGCGCAGAAAACAAGCAATGCGCAGTGGTCCTTGAGAACATGATGCGCTCTGTGTTTCACAGACATGTTCCAGACTCTATATGGATTGGGAGCTTCATTCCCAAGAAAGAAGAGGAAATACTTGAAATCAAGAAAAACTTCTGTAAAGTCATCTACTCGTCCAGAACAGCAGGTGTAATTGCACACAGTGCTTTAACAGGGGTGTCATTTTAGAACATGGATTAGTTTTAAAATCAACTAAGTTTTAATCCTTGACAAACAGTACAAAACATATTTTCTTGCTGTTATGAACAGTAATATGAGCGAATTCTCATAGCAGTTTGTATGCACTCCATTATTTGGGTTAATGTAGGCTGTGAGATTCACAAGACCTCATTTACAACTTTGGGTCCACTCAGAGGCTTTAGACAAAGCACCATTCATTCACTGAACATCACAGGCCTTGTGATAAACTCTGGGGTAATCATGTCTTATTGTCTTCACAGATTATACAGGGCATAGAGGGAACCCGCTTCTCTGGCCATTGCAATGTTTACTCGAGTCTAACAGAGGAACACAGAGAGTCCGGGCAAAGAGCAACTCTACAGACAACTGGCAAACAGGTAGCAGCACTGTGCCAAATAACCCTTTGAGTGGTTTAGGTTCATAGTTCAGATTAGGGTTGGTTCTAAATTAACACTGCAGTAAGAATGGTGCTGTATCAAATTACCCATTGACACAGAAGAAAAAATACTACACCACTGTATTTAAATTGTATTTTACATGTTTTCAGGCAATTCCAAGGACCTAGAGGAGAGCATTCCCTTGAAAACCCTTAACCAGCCCACTGGACCTCATGTGGTGGATGGAGAGTCAGCTGTAAAAGACAGCTAATCACATTGTCTGGTGGACCTTAATGCTTGTATTTTTCTTTTAACAATCAACATTTAAAAATAGCTTAGATTTTTAAATGTACATCTACTTGAAATGTACAATATTTATTTAATATACACAAAAGAACAATAGGGAAAGGGTAACCTATAGTTTGTCACTTTTTATACTAAAATTGTTCTACCAAAATGTGAATTTAATCTATTTTGTGCACTGGATAACTGGGGTTCTTTTAACAGATACTGGCAGTAATTGCATTTGTATAGATTTTATGTGTTCCACCCACAAATACTTAACCACATTGGTTATTGTCTTTTCTGTGAATGAGTCTAAACCAGCATTACAGAGTGCACATGTTAAATTATGAATAAAACTCTCTAATATTTAAATGTTTTGCCTTTTTTTTTTTTTTTTTTCAGCAAGCAGCACTAGCAGACCTAACATTTGCATTTCTTTAAGCAACCATAGTCTGTATATGAGCTGAGCAACGCACAGTCCTATAAAGCAGTAATTCTCGAACTCTGGATGGACGTGTACCATTGGTGTTACTTAGATTTGGGTTTACATCCGCTTTGATCTAGCAGTTGCATGGATCCATTAAAAGAGCTGTTCACACACAATTCTCCAGTTCACACACCAGACACTTATCTTAATAACTAATTTGAATCACAATTTCAAAAAATTGTCCACCAATGGCAAAAGCTGAAAAAAAACTTAGTAGTAATAATTAAGTACTGATTAGTATAAGAAGTAATGAAAGTGGTAGTAGCACGGCACTGTGATTTGACATTTAGAGCCACACTTCGACAGAGTCAGGCTGTTAATTACGCCTGTTCACAATTGAGTACATTATTCAAAAAGCATGTTTGAAGCATGGCTGTATTTATAGTTCCATTTAAATACCCCATAACTATCACTGATAAATTGTATGTACACGCTATTGATCAAACACTGGAGCAGGTCAGAACTATTTCTTTGTTCTTCCTTTAAAATAAGGCATGAGTGAGGACAGCCTATTTGTGGGTCCTTTACGGGGGCCTTGCTTCGGCATCAGACAAAAAAGAAGTTAGCAGCGGCTGCGGCAATCAGGTGTTTTGCTCCTTTAATAATCGTAAAAACAGGATTTTAGTGATTTAAAACCCAGCAGGGATACTAAAACGAAACCCTAGACGCGGGTCTGCGGGGGCTATTGGCACTAACCATGATTACATCCGCCGGTAGGTATTTTTATGTTGGTAACTGCGAGTGTAGCCAGCTCCCATTGATTTAGCTGAGTCACACAGCGTACTTATTCACTGATGCTAGGCTAATAACAATGTGTTTACTGTCAGAATAACACTAACTAGTTTTTTTTTCACGTCCCAATTACAGCTTCATGGTTTTAGGGTGTTTTTTACTGATTGTTTTCACTACCGTCTAGGGTTATATGCTTTCAAACGCTGTCACTGTAGACTTTAGACGTTTACCACTGAGCAACGATTAGTATTTCAGGGAAGTGGAGTTCATAACATTACATTTAAAACTTTTCTATCTGTTTGTTTATAGGAAAACTAAGGTCAAATCACAAGTAGCCTTATTACAGTGTTTTGTTTTGTTTTTTCAGCTGGGATCATTTCACTTCTTGATGAAGATGAACCACAGCTCAAGGTATATGTGATTTCAATCCTTCATTTAACTAACTTTTGATAGTTGGAGAAGTATACAGTATCACTACAACCTTGCTTATGAGCAGACATGTAGGTTTAAATTTGAAATCTGTTTCATTGGATTATAATCTTTCTTTTGTAGGAGTTTGCTCTTCACAAACTGGACTCTATAGTCAATGACTTTTGGGCTGAAATTTCAGGATCAGTTGACAAAATGTAAGTGTTTATGGTGTCTTTTTAATGTTGCAAATGTACCATTCTTACTCCTTTTTTGTTATGCTCTTTTTTCCAGTGAGGTCTTGTATGAAGATGAATCCTTCCGTAGTAGAGAATTTGCAGCCCTTGTGGCCTCAAAGGTCTTCTACCACCTGGGAGCTTTTGAGGAGTCTTTGAACTACGCTCTTGGAGCTGGAGATCTCTTCAATGTAACTGATGACTCTGAATATGTGGAGACCATCATTGGTGAGTCACAGTAAAACAAGATTACACAGCTGAAAGCTACTTGAGTTAAAACTATACTTTCATCTTTTATTGTTTTTAGCCAAATGTATTGACCACTACACAAAGTTGCGGGTGGAGAATGCTGAACTACCTGAAGATGAGGAGAAGAAAAGCATTGATCCCCGCCTGGAGGGCATTGTCAACAAAATGTTTTTGCGTTGCCTTGATGACCATAAGTACAAGCAAGCCATTGGTATTGCCTTGGAAACGAGACGACTTGATATGTTTGAGAAGACCATCTTAGAATCGGTCAGCCATTTTTATCAGACTAAATATTAGATGCGCTGATTTAACACTTATGATCAAGTATTAACTTTCTCTGTCATACAGAATGATGTGAGCGGCCTTCTTGCTTATAGTTTGAAGGTTTGCATGTCTTTGATGCAAAACAAGAAGTTTCGTAATGAAGTTCTGCGTGTCCTGGTTAAACTCTATATGAATTTGGAAAAGCCGGACTTCATTAATGTTTGCCAGGTATTTTTTGTTATTCTTATGTTTGCTTTGTGCAAAACCTTTTTTGTAAACCAGTCCCTTAATCTTTTTTTATTCATTTTCTAGTGCCTGATTTTCCTGGATGACCCTCAGGCTGTCAGTGACATTTTGGAGAAACTGGTGAAAGAGGACAATTTGCTTATGGCGTATCAGATTTGTTTTGATCTGTATGAGAGCGCCAGCCAGCAGTTCCTGTCTTCTGTGATTCAGAATCTTCGCACAGTTGGAACACCTATCCCATCTGTTCCTGGATCCACCAACACAGGCACAGTGCCAACATCAGACAAAGACAGGTGAAAATATTTAATATAGCCAGCACTGCTTTAGTAGTTTTATCCATCTTTGTTAATATGTTAAACCTAACATGACATGCTTGTTTTTGAGACAGTGAGGCAATGGACACTGATGATAAGCCAGGAAGTTCCCCTACTGGAAAACCAGTAGACTCTGTAAGCTTAACTTAAAATATATGTTTGTAGATGTAACAAAATGTTTTCTAAAGGAGTCATTGCTCTGCTTTGTCTTTGCAGAAAGATGACCCTAAGGACCAGAATGCCAAGATGATTAAAATCCTAAGTGGAGAGATGGCTATTGAGTTACATTTGCAGTTTCTAATTCGAAACAACAACACAGATTTAATGATTCTGAAAAACACAAAAGTGAGCTCAACAATATAGTTTATGTACCACCGTCTTTGCTCTGATGTCTAAATATAATTTTCTTTCTCTTTTTTTTCTTGCAGGATGCAGTTCGAAATTCTGTTTGCCACACAGCCACAGTTATCGCCAATTCTTTTATGCACACAGGAACCACAAGTGACCAGTTCCTCAGGTATCTACACAAAAGTGGCGTTTATAGCAGTAGACTTGGATTAAATCTCTAAAACTTTTTTTTTTCTTCCCCAAGGGAAAATCTGGAATGGTTAGCCAGAGCCACTAACTGGGCAAAATTCACAGCAACAGCAAGTCTTGGTGTAATCCACAAGGTATGACAACATTACTGAGTATGTGTCCAAAATATATTTACATGTGTAACTAAAAAATCTTTGTATCTAGGGTCATGAGAAGGAGGCACTTCAGTTAATGGCCACTTACTTGCCAAAAGACACCTCTCCTGGCTCTGCCTATCAGGAAGGAGGTGGTCTTTATGCTCTGGGACTTATTCACGCTAACCACGGTGGTGACATTATCGACTACTTGTTAGGACAGCTTAAGAATGCAAGCAATGATGTAAGTTGTTTTTTTTTTAACATAATTCACTGAACATTTTGTGGGACCACTTTAATCACTATTCTCTTAACAATCTTTATAACGTAGATTGTTCGTCATGGAGGTGCCCTTGGTCTCGGTTTGGCTGCTCTGGGAACAGCAAGGCAGGATGTTTATGACTTGCTCAAGTCAAACCTCTACCAGGATGACGCTGTCACTGGTGAGTGGGTAACACAACAGTGTCATTTTAAGTTTGGTCTGATGAGATTTGATGTTAAATTTTAAATGTGCCTACAGGTGAAGCGGCAGGTTTGGCATTGGGGCTGGTCATGCTTGGCTCAAAGTCCGCCCAGGCCATTGAAGACATGGTCGGCTACGCTCAGGAAACGCAGCATGAGAAGATCCTTCGCGGGCTGGCAGTGGGCATTGCTCTGGTCATGTATGGACGTATGGAGGAGGCGGATGCGCTAATAGAGAGCCTGTGCAGGGACAAGGTATTAGTGATGTTATTTTGTGAAGACTTGACCCTAAACCTGTGAAATTCCAATCCTGAAAGATTTGTACTGTCTTTATGGCAAAAACAGAGCTAGTTTATTCTTGCAGCAGTCCAATATTATTACTCACATTCCCTTTGCAGTTTTGCAGTCATGATAAATCTAAGAAGCATGCTAATAACCCACTTCCTAACTGTCAGATGAAAAAAAAAAATACAGATGGATGCAGATAGCATACAGCCCCATTTTGACTAGGGACAAAACCAACTTTGCTCAGTATGGAAAAAAATTACACTCACTTTAACAGAGGAGTAAAAGTAAGCTTGCTTTTATGAACTTGTGTTTTCTCTCTTTGCTAGGACCCTATTCTGAGACGCTCTGGTATGTACACAGTCGGCATGGCTTACTGTGGCTCGGGAAACAACAAGGCCATAAGACGCCTGCTGCACGTTGCTGTGAGTGTCTCCTGTTTGACCATTATCACAACACATACACTGTAGCAGGACAGGTTTATTGTGCTGACAAAAACTTAACTAAACAGAACTATGTCTGCAGCATGAATTTTGTAAATAAAAGGTGCAGCTGTTTTGTTTCAAGGAGTTATTTCTGTTAATTTGTGGGACTAATTATCTCTGTATTTTTATATTTTTTTTAATATAGTGTATGACCAAAACCTCTTTTGCACAGACTATAACAGATCAGTGTTTTGTCACTTTAACCCATTGTCCAGCAGGTGGTGCTGTACTCTTGTACAACTTCTAATAATTTAGATTTTTGTTTTTTAGGTAAGTGATGTGAACGATGATGTCAGGAGGGCAGCCGTAGAGTCTATTGGCTTTATCTTGTTCAGGTAAGAAAATATATTGTAAATGTGTACACTGTAACATGTTGGCCCATTGCCAAACCCAAGAACCACTGTAAAAATATAAACACCCCAATTGTAATGTTTGAAAGGACACTGAAGGTCAGTTTCAAATCCCATATTTTAATAGCAGTTATTGTTACTGAGTCTTCCAGACTGTTTAGAATTCATACCACTTTTAAACCACTGCTCTGAAAACATTTATAAACCATAAATGGTTCTATGGTCAAGGGGCTGCAAGAAACTGGATATAAATCTTTTGATGTTTATAAAGACACCCAGACTAAAACACAGTTGACCTTTTTTACACCACGCATTTCCCTCCAACCCACAAAGCGAACAGTCAGATTTGTCATTGTAATTGCTTTGTATAGTTAAATATAGCTTTTAAGTAAAAGAAAATGTGATTGTAGACTGCTCACATTGATTTTACGTTATGTTGTGGTAATACAAAATGTATTTTAAAAATCTACGTTAGATGTTTTTGGGTCCCATATTAAAAACAGATGAGCTTCTTTTTGACTTATTTTACTGGAACTACACGTAGCTGACATGTTCCTCGTGTTTACAGTCCACATTTTCCGTTAGAAGCAATGTGTCCAAAACCACAGCAGCAGCTGCCTGACTCGTGGCCTGTCTGCACCTCAGTGGGCTTTGGTAGCTGACTCCAATGCCATTCCTCATCCCATGTTTCTTGAACAGTGTTGAGTTTTCAGCCATTGAAGACTGAAATGACATCCGTGTTAGTGTTCTTTCTGTGGTGAAGGACGCTGGCGGCCTGCCGTGTACTTTGGGCCTATAGTTTTTGTATTGACATGTGATGTAGCGTGTGAATGCCTCCCTGAATGTTTTGTTGAACAGAGTGTACACCAAAGGGTTTATGCCTGAGGACACATAGCCGACCCAAACAAAGACCTCCATGAGGCGGGCGATCAGGTTCATGTCACAACTGGTGCACAGCACAGAGGTGATGTTTGTGATGAAGAATGGGCACCACATGACCACAAACAGGAGAAAGACTATGCCTAGAACCTTAGAGGCTCGCTGTTCGTTGCTCAGACTTTGCATTGACTTTTTGCCCATAGTGGACATTCTGCAGACAGGCATCTCTCTACCTGCAGATGAGTGTAAGGGTCCTGTATTGGGCTTTTCTTGTAACCATGGAAACCTGAGGTCTAACATTTGCTCTTGCTGAGAGTGGGTGACACTACCAGGGTATTCCCTATGAAACACTGTAAACACATTGGGATAGCTCAGTCGCTGAGTCACTCTGGACCTGAGCAGATGAACCTTTTTACGCAGTACTTGGACTGTGAGTAGATTGATGACCATCATGATGGTCAAAGGGATGAAGAATGCCGCCAAAGATCCAAACATGATGAACTCTTTAAAAGTGTCCGTCTTTAGCAGGCACGTATGGTTACTGTTGAATGTCACATTGTTTGGAAGAGGGTAATTCTGAAGACCCTTAATCGGTATCGGAATGGCAATGCCTGGAAAACAAAATTAAATCACAATTCAAATCATCACATTTCAAATCATGAAAACTACATGTTTGGTCATCAGCAAACAACAAATATCCCTTTGTCTTATGGGGAAAATACAATTTGCTAAGTATTAAACACTTTCAATTGATTTCAATAATAAAATGTTATCTCCCTGGATGAATTTGATATGTGCACGGTGTACTGAAGCTTGATTTAAAAAAAAAATAAAAATCTGTTTTCCGAAATTGTGCATCCCTAAAGGGTTGTATATAAAGTCATATGCTTACAAATGGATATTAGCCACACCAGTGCAATCTTCACCAAGGCCTTGGCTCTGGACTTGTACTGGCTGTGTTGAATGGGCTTCTTGATGGCGATGTATCTGTCCAGTGAGATGGCACACAGATGCATGATGGATGCTGTAGAAAACAGCACATCCAGGAAGAGCCAGATGGGACAGACAAATTCTGGAAGAGGCCAGTCGGAGTCTAATCGGAATAATAAAAGAACATTTCATTTAATCAGACCTTCCCATGGGTAGTTTAAAAGGTTTTGGTGTAACTAAGCCTTTAAAGCACAAAGCACATTAACATACCACACATGAAGATTGATTTTTGTTTAGCTCCCAGAGAAATAACTTTCCTGGAATAAAATGGGCTTCACTAGATGTTTATAAAACTAAAGCCTTTATGCGTATATGGAGACTATTCTCAGTGGTAATGTTTATTTTGAGTTCTAGGCTTAAAATTGACAAGCATTTATGCCAATGCTAATGCACTGTAAAATATTCCATATTTCGATTCATCACTAACTCAATCTTCAGCAATGTTTTACATTTAGATTATTATTTTTTTTTAATGTACGCATATGTATCTCTGAGGGAGCATCATATACATATCACTATTGATATTTCATAATCATGATATTTCATAAAGTTTAAAAAAATGTGGAGCAGGGCTGTAGATGCTTTTGATAGTAGTACAGTAGCAGTACATTGATAAAACAGATGCCTGATGTGTAGTCCAACTGTCTCTGTGTGATTCTTTGTCTGTGATATACGTATTGTTTACGTGCTTTTATGATTTGCTGTAACACTTACTGTAGAGGACTGTGACCAAGGCGATGGGCATCACAAGGAGTCCAACGAGCAGATCTGCCATAGCCAGAGACATCAGGAAATAGTTTGTGGCATTTTGCAGCTTTTTTTCAAGTGAGACAGCAAGAATGACTAAAATGTTTCCTCCAATAGTAGGAATAATCACCATAACGATGAGGAGGGCAGCCCACTGTAGCCCAGTCCCAGGGTCCTCTCCCGCACTGGAGTTGTTGGGGCGGAGTGCACCCACCTCTGAGTGACACATGTTACTGCAAGGAGGATGGCAGGTCCGAATGCGGTTTGGGGCGTAAAGGTCTCTGGTACTTTAACTGTGTTGTATGGCATGGTCACTGTGTCACACAGACCCAACACAGACTGCAAACTACTGCAAAATACTACATCCTTTATGGAGACCCCCAACTCCAAAAGTAAAGGGTTAATCGCCAAAAAGTCTAAAACCGGTCTTGTTTTCCTTTGAGTTGTGACTGTCTGCTGTCTGTGGGCCACCACCTGTAAAAGGAGATTTTTGGTTTGTTTGTTTAGGAATGCCCATTAGTCATCCCTGAGGAAAAATGCAGATCTGTACATTTTGAAATTGGTAACATTTCTTAAAAGTTTCTTACCCCACAATAAGAAGCAGACCAATTGACTTTCTTCTTTTTGCTTCTAAGAAAAACTGCCCTAACTTTATTCTTCAGCTTCCAAAGAGAAATGCCACAGAAAATGTCCCTCCTCAGACTCCTAAATCTCTCCACGTCTGAAGCGGTCCGTAATGTGGAATTTGTTTTTTTTCCACATTTTGGATGAAACCCCAGCTTTGTTCTGCATCACCTCTGTGGTCACAGCTTTTCAAATGTTCAGATGCTTCGGCTTCTCCGCTGCGTTCCTCGTTCTCCTCTTACAGCATCTGATCAGGATCCCGTCTCACGTCTGGAGCGCACATCTTCTCCTCCCCCCAGCTCCCGCTCCTGCCTTTGACTCATGCTTTGCACTAAACAGAGAGCAGGCTTCTTTCTGGCAACGTGCCAGCCATTCTGGGAGGTCATTTCCCACCACTCAGCCACCCCACTGTTTGGATTTGTCACTTTCTACTCTCTTCACGAATATACGTAATAATGGTTGTTGCATTACACACGGAAAGACTTGTAATGAATTGAACCAGTCTTTTTCAGAAATGTTAACTAGGTACATTTTAATACAGTTTCACAAATTGAACTGGCTGTAGTTTTGCAATGTAGATTTTCCATATTTTATCTCTTTCCAGGACCCCAGAGCAGTGTCCCAGTGTAGTGTCCCTTCTTTCTGAGAGCTACAATCCTCACGTGCGCTGTGGAGCTGCCATGGCTCTGGGCATCTGCTGTGCTGGCACGGGCAATAAGGTAAACTGTTTCTTTCCTGCTCTTTGTCATTTACTTACATACAAATAACTTCATTTGATGGATTAAGAAGTTAATTTTATGTTGTGTTTACTTGTAATACTGTGTATAAAATGGTGGGCAAGCCTTTTATACTTTTTAACAATCAGTTTTATTTTCAGAGGATGAATGTTTAGGTCTGTCACAATAAAAAAATTTTAATATGATGTATTACTGAAGAAAATTTTGACTATAAAAGATCATATTGACACACTGACACAATACCCTAAAGTAGGATTTCCTCCACTATACTGTATATACTGTCAGTATTGTTAATAAACATGAGCTAAATGAAACACTTAATGAGTCCTAGAAAGTTATTTATGCAACCCTCTACAGCTTAAATCTTATCATTGTGCAGAAAAATAACAAAAAGTATCCAAAATAAATACTGACTCCCAGAAATAATCTTTCTGAAATTATCTTTGTCTACCATGTCTTGAATGATATAGTAATTATTGTGACAGGCCTACTAGCATGTGTATCTGTTTTGGTGAATCCAGCAGTGTAATTGTTTCTACCTGGGTCCACTAAGACACGAACACTGATGAAATTGTTTATTTTGTTTCTCCTGTTTTCTCTGATCTTCAGCAGTGATGGCCTCTTTGAGTTTAGTGTTATGTTACTGTAACTACATTACAGTACAAGCAAATAACACTTCAAAGGAGGCAGTGCTCTTTTCACAGATCTGCTCAAAATTGTTATGAGCGGAAACTGAGAAACCAGGACCTATGCTTGGTCGTCCAGGGCAACCAGATATGCTTGACGCTAATGTCATTAATTTGTGTGGTCTGGCTCCCTGTGTTAATATCATTTTCTGTGTTTATAAAATCTAGCCTTGATGTTTTGGTTTGAAATGTTTCTTTACATTTTAGAGTCCATTCATATTTTTGTGCGCATGATACTACAGTCTGTACAAATGAATTATTCACATCTCTCGGGCTATTTATGTCATTAACTGTTAACCAGTTTAATTGTAAACTAATCAGATCCCTATTATGTTCATTCACCGTCAGGAGGCCATCAATCTGCTGGAGCCCATGACCAATGACCCGGTCAACTATGTGAGACAAGGAGCTCTCATCGCCTCAGCCCTCATCATGATCCAACAAACTGAAGTCACCTGTCCAAAGGTAACTGCTGTTTCCCTAAAGGGTTTCTTTAAGGGCCCGTATTGTATTGTGCTACTTTCTGATCAATGTTTATAATATTGTTGCCTTATCACAAACATACCTGGAATTGAGTCTCTCAAACAGAAAACACTTTGGTCTGCCTTGGGACGCTATGTGGTAATACTAGAAGTGCTCCACTGTGTTTTTAAACTCTGTACACCTTCACTAGAATCATTTGGATAATTTCAGACCTAAAATATCCAATCTCTATTGAATAAAAGGAGAAGGGTAGCTGATAACTTGTGAAGTCATGTAGTGTTAGTTTTCAAGGTGGAGCAGAGCATTTTTAGCTTTGGAGATGTAGACAGACTACTAAAGAAATTTTCAAACAGTGAGTGTGTGAATGAAACAAAAGACAACTCCAGGTATGTTTTTGAAGAGGTAACAACATTCTGATCTTTTAAAGGGTTAGTGCTAATGATAAATTTTAGAAATTTAGAATTTTTGACTTGATGCATTGAAATGTTTTTAACATGCATCCCCTTTTCTAGGTGAACCAGTTCAGGCAGCTGTACGCAAAGGTGATCAACGACAAGCACGACGATGTTATGGCCAAATTTGGGGCGATCCTAGCCCAGGGAATCCTTGATGCGGGTTTGTGTCTAAGCAACAAACATAAATTATTTTACCCTTTACATCAGGTGTCCTTCAATAGTGCACTTAAACTGACTGAAGTTAAAGGTCCTATATTACGCAAAATTGACTCTTATGAGCATTAAGCCATAAGATTTTGTTTTGATAGGATTTTGTTACCTCAGCAAAAACCTAGCCGTAGTGTGTTTTACTTCAGTCACACATTGAGTAATCCTTGTATTATTAGTCTGTCTATATCTCCAAAGCTCCAGAATGCTTTGTGCCACCTTGTGATGTCGTGAAGTTGTAGTTTTCAAGTTAGTAGCAACTTTTTACCTTTTTGTTTAGTAGAGATTGGCAAAGCCACGGCTGAAATTATCCTAATAATTCAAAAGTGTAAGGAGTTTAAAAACACAGCAGAGCACTTCCTTTATTATCACATGACATCACAAGGTAGAACAGGGTGTTTTCTGTTTGAGAGAAGAACACAGCCTAAATATGCAGGGTTTGTGTCTTAAACATGTGTGGATGAAACAAAACACAACTCCAGGTATGTTTTTGGTGAGGAAACAACAATATACATTATATAGATCAGAAAATCTCATAATATGGACCCTTAAAGGTAGTTAGTTTCAGTTCAAAGTTGACCACCCATGCTCAGACTGTAGCAGACCCTAAGGTGTGGCGTTGCTCAGTTTGTTCTCAGTCATGGATCTATTGGTTTCCCCTCGTGATTACGGTTTGTCTGATTGCCTCTGTGTTTGTGGACCTTTTATATTGTGAGAGTGTGAGGTCTACAGAGCTGCACATTATCACATACGGCTACACAGCCATACAGCCCCACTATACCCACAGTCACATACACAAATGTAGGAACTCCCAGCACTAACACAAACCTAGCACCACACTAGAAGGAAACCAGTTCTGTTTACATTTTCCTGTCAAAATACACTCTCAGGTGCGCTCAGTGAGATGCATGTCTGGAGGAGAAGGCATGCTTTTAAGAAATGAAGTCGCTCTCTATTCACAAATGTAACATGATCTAATATCTGATGGTTATTTCATTCAGATTCAGAAAGATGTTACAACACTGCTTTTTAGTGTGAAGAATTACTGACACAATGGCCATACAGCAGTGAAATCCTTAATTTGATCTTATTCAGGGTCTAATAGATCACTATTCCTCAAGTATGTGACAAGCTTTATGAAATCAACTTTCTAATTGACAAACTTTAGTTGATGCGACATGAATAGCCCAATAAAGAATTTTACATTTAAGTTTTTCCCAGGTTTTAAAATATATCGTCTGCGAGTTAAACTAAAACAACTGATCAATTGGTTTCCCCCTGTGATTATGGTCTTTCTGATTGCCAGTTCAGTTGTTATAGTATAACTCGCTGATCATATCTTACACCTGGATGTCTCAATTTGCATCAATTAATTTTAGAATACAGAATTTGATTTCAATCTCTCTCTTGACATCTCTAAGTGGCATGTTTTTCTCTAATCCTCTGTTTTATCTACATAACTTACTAGTCTTTTGCTCTGCTTCATCTGATTGCCTGTAGTTGTTTTAGTTTAACTGATTATCTTTTTCCTAGGTAGATTAATTTCCAAAGTTGAATTCAATACTTTTCTTGACCTCTCTTACTGTAGGTGGCATGCTCTGTCCTGAGTCGTCTGTTTTGCCTATAGAGCTCACAGGTCTCGTGCTCTGCTTCGTGGAGCATGAGGTGTTTTTGAGGTGCAGCTGTAATTGTATATAATTTGACGAGCGGAAACCATTAGCACTGAGTTTCATGATCGCTGCTGCTCATTACGTCGGAAATGTTTTCGCTCACACACACACACACACACTCTTGCACATGCTCACACAGACCTGATCTGGTGCCTTCAGAGATCCAAGATGGATCCTTGTACAATACTTGTGGGCCTCCCTTTTTAATTTATTAATATATTTTTTGTATTAATATATTTTTTCTTCATTTTATTTGAATTATTAGTTCATTTAATTTCTTTACTATAATTATTATTATTGTTGTTGTTATTGGGGGGGGGGCGTTTGCTACTATAACCATTAAAGAACATATGACTAGTGAAGAGCTCTCTTTTCACTGCTTTTAAAGAGACTCTTGAGCTCCACATTACTATATGTTGTAAACTGAAGGACAGTGACTCATTCTGACCATTGTTCTTTCTGTGGTTTAGTCTCTGCTTCTACTAACATAAGAGCCACTTTTAAAGGCTTGCATTGAGCTTAGAGAGAAAGTGCAAGTTAGGACAAAGGAAATGATTTGTCTAGTATTATGTCTTTATCAGTCTGGGTGGCTACAGAATTTAAGCGATCACCTTTATTGTATGCTCTTCTAAAGGCTATATCTCAAAGATGACATGTTCAGTTGCCTCCTATTTAATTTCTTCCTTCCTACTCCCTCTTTCCGCTGCAGTTCTCTGTCCTCAATGGAAGTTGAAACATTTGTCATTTTACAAAACGTGCTAAATAAATTTAAAACTATATATATGCTGACAAATGTAATTGAAAACAAAACATTAACTCAATAATTATGTTTGAAACTAGAGAAACCCAAATGATTAGCTGATCATCCCAGAGGGCACTGAAGTGTCAACTTGATCTTGATCTAAACCAGGATGTGGAAGACTATGCATAATGTCTTTGCAGATTTACATCTTTTGAGAATTACAGGCTATTGTTTTGCCTTCCGAGGCCACGAAGATGGACATAACATAACGATTTTAAGCGGGTTTAGATAAGATAACATTTGTGATGCGCAGTGTTTAAAAGTTGGGCTGTTACCTTAGCGATATTAATGATTCAAAACATACTAAAATAAAAACTGTCAGTTTCATTTTATTGTGTTTTTCTGTTCAGGTGGGCGTAATGTGACCATCTCGCTTCAGTCCAGGACGGGCCACACTCACATGCCCTCTGTGGTGGGGCTGCTCGTCTTCACACAGTTCTGGTTTTGGTTCCCTCTGTCCCACTTCCTGTCTCTGGCTTTCACCCCCACCGCTATCATTGGCCTCAACAAAGACCTGAAGGTAATGCCTATGCAGCTCCAAATCTGCAACAATCATTCATGATTACTGATAACAAAACAAACAGCTGTGGATTCCTGAATTTACTTTACACGTGTACAATCTCCACATCAAAATTGGGATTAACTGGGACTAAACCTGCACCAAAACAGGACCAAACCAAATCTACATTAGGACTAAAACTGGTGTGAATGTTCCTAAATGAGACAAAAACAGCCAGATGAACAAAAAAAGCACTTTTTTTTCCCCCAGAGTACAGATGGAATTAAAAATCATTTTGCTTTTAAAACGGTTACAACCATGATTTTATTAGTTCTCATGATTTAAATGAATAACATTTATGTGATCACAATTATTAACCAAATAATCTTGACATTCCTACATTGCAAACTTACTGACTACTGAAATAAAGTTAACCAAATTTACATCTAATTCTGGCTTTGGCTCCAGCTTTTATTAGCAGTGAAACCCTAACAAGGCGGTCTTATGTGGGCACTTAAGCACTAATCCAGGATCAGAATGACTTTGTGAAGAACATGCAGGGGCCTTTGTCTCCGCTAAGGCTCCCAAATCTGCAGCGTCAGGCCCCAGGGACACTTGGACATTTGTTGTTCAGTGGATCTACAGTGGGACAGGCCTCGTGAGGGTATAAATGGGGGTGTAAAGACCTCCAGATCCAAACAGCACACACCTGTTACTCTGCCACGGTCCTGTAGAGAAACGACAACAATGAGATCATGGACTGTAACGGGTCCCCTGTGGTCCTGCTGTATCCTGCCAATCTAATCACTGTTGATAAAAGAGCAAGGACTGACCTACAAACTGGGAAATTGCAAACTTTTTCTTGTTGTGATAGTAAATTTGTTTGTGGTGGTCAATGTTAATGATGCACATCCTGTTCCATTTCGATTAATCAATTAATCTGATTTGCCAGTGATCAATACACTGTTAATCTCACTCTTGACAAATTCTATACACCCTGTAATTACCAACCTCAAAATCTGCATTATTGTTAAATTTTTGTATTTATTTATTTGATACAGACAGTGTATATTAATGAACATCTGTAGTTACAGAGTAAATATGCCAAATTAGCAAAAAAATGCCAAAAAAAATTCCATCCCTACAAAACAATTACAAAGAGATATGACACAGAAGAGTAAAAGTCCAGATTAAAGGTGTTCACAAACATGGATTCCCTTCATCCACATTTTAGGGTGTGGACAGTGATGGACTTTCTCTTATTGTCATATGAAAACGTATTACACTGCTGTCTATTCATGCTTTTCAAGTCAGGCGATATTTTGAAGACATTTTCCATAATTTAAAATATATTTTGTTTTGAATTCTTGCTTTAGCAATCTAAAGCAACAATGCTTTTTTTTCATCACTCTGAAACCCATAGATACGTCCATAGGTTCTTAACTGATGCAAAATTTGTATTAAGCTCATGGAAATACTTTATAAAAACCTTTTGTTATAGAAAAATAAGTGTTAATAACCATGACTGTTTGTGTCTTTTGGTTCAGATGCCCAAGGTTCAGTACCGCTCCAACTGCAAGCCCTCAACGTTTGCCTACCCACCCGCGCTGGAGGTTCCGAAGGAAAAAGAGAAGGAAAAGGTGAACTGGACATAAGGCCTGTTTTGATTCTCTCCTTCTTGAGTAAATAGTCCATGAAGCATTTCCAATTTTACTCATTCTCCTGCCCACTGTGTTTATTATTCTAGCATCTGAGGTCTATTTTTCTCGGTATTCTTTGCTTACTAGTCTGACATGCTCTCAGAATATAACGCGTGGATAGCACTAGTGATTATATTGTGGTTGACTAGTTTCATAAACTTGGAGCCATGTTTGCAGATGAGATTATGGATGTCTTCAGTATTGTCTTACATGTGAAAATGTCTGTGTCTGGCAGGTGTCCACTGCTGTTCTTTCCATCACAGCCAAAGCCAAGAAGAAAGAGAAAGAAAAGAAAGAAAAGGAGGAGGAGAAGATGGAAGTGGTAAGGCTGTTTCATTTAAATCAACAACTTCAGAAAGGTGGTATCCAACAGGGGAACCAATAGACTTTACAAATATTTAGATTCTTGGATCAATATACCAGCACTGACAGTATTCTGGCAGTATTTGAACTTGTTACCAAAGTCCAGACCTCCTCCATCAACGACTTGTAAAATGTTTGGTACCATTTTTCTTTGGAGTTTTAACATTGTGTTGAATACTTTGTGCCATGTTATGTAGCGCTGATGGATTAGCATGAAAATTTCAGCTCCAGTTTATGATCTCAGATGATTTCAGTAAAAACAGTTGAGTGATGAAATGAGTTACATGGTGTTATAATCTTTCTGTAAGGACCATTTAGCATGTTCTGAATGTGCGAACACATTTTTCACTTGGTATTTGAAATAGGGACATAGATAAACATGAAACTCAGATACTTATTGATTCTAAAACTATATCAAAACTAAATACTCATTTGAAGACACAAGTGGCTTGAGTAGTTTTGGAATGGTTTTGATTTTATATCTGAACTAATAATTTGTGTAGAAAATCATTTTGTATTAAAAATGTAATACAGGAAGTGCTCCACTGTTTTTAAACTCTCCACCTTCACAAGAATCATTTGGTCTTGGAATTTTAAATCTCTACTGAAGTTAAGGCAAAAAGTTGTTCTTAACACAAATTACGGCTTCATGACATCACAAAGTGGAACAAAACATTTTGAGCTTTGGAGATGTAGACGGAGTAATTAGTACTCTGATGTAGGTGGAGACAAGTATTACTCAAAAATGTGTGACTGAAGCAAAACACAGCTCTAGTTATGTTTTTGATGAGGTAACATTAACATGGATAAAAACTCACAAAAATCCATTTAGTATAGTAGGACCTTTTTAATCAAGCCTTTTCTTTCTTTAGTATTGAAATCAAGTTGGAAATGTTTCACTATACAGATTTGATTTATTAATCTGATAAATGCATAGAAACTTTTTATTTTATCGTGCTTAATGTGTGCCCCCCTTTTGTAGGAGGTCCAAGAAGGCGAGAAAGAAAAGGAGAAAAAAGATGAAGAGAAGAAGAAAGAGGTTGAGCCCAACTTCCAACTGTTAGAAAACCCAGCGCGCGTGATGCCCGCTCAGCTCAAAGTCCTGATCATGCCAGAGAGCTGCCGCTACCAGCCCTTTAAACCGGTAACCACCCACTCACCATAAAACATGATCAGATCTGTTTAATTCAACATTGATTAAAAATTCCTCATTTAAAGAATTTATTTGGAAAATGCAATGGTAACTTTACTTTATTACAGAAAGGTTAAAGTTAATCAGCTTTAGTACCAGGGTAAAATATGCCAGCGTCTGTCTGGGCAACGTCAGTGATTATATAATTTTTAATAGTGGAAGATTATCTGCAAGTTGTGTTTTTCTTTCTAAATAAATATTTCAAACTGACATTGGGTTGGTTAGCGCTGGCCTTCTTTTCTCTTCAGTGCAGCAGTAAATGTCAAAGTTCCTACAATAAATTTAAGACCTGGTCACACTGGCTCTGTAAAGACATCCACAGTATGACGACATCAGTGTTAAGGGTGGTGCATGTTTTTTCCCTTGGGAGCAGCGTTGCCAGATTTTCAGGAAGCAACAAGCAACTAAAAAAAACGATACAAGCAACCAGAGTCCCACAAAAATGAACCCAAAAATAAGTTCAGTGTTGTGTGTGCTAATGAGATACATATTTTTAGGAGAATATCTTACAAATCATTGCAATAACTGCTTTAAATGTCAGAAGCTTGTATTTCAGTCATTATTGGGTCTATTTGGGGAAATCTTACTGAAAAAGGTTAAATATAATCTTTTATGACGTAAATGTGCCTCTTATTAGCAAGCTCAAAAATGGATCCCACAACTGTCAAAATTTGCAAGCAAATCTCTAAAAGCCCAATGTCGCTATAAAGAAGCAGCCTTGGCAACTCTTCTCGCGAGTCTGTTTTCCATACAGAGAAAGTTGAGAAAGTCTGTTCTTGACTTAGAATCTGGTCACTGTCTGGAAGTTTCGTGGATATTCAAATTAATAGAGCGTTTCCTGTTTTTAGCATTTTCATGGTACATTGACAAGACAAACAAAAGATTCTTTGGAGTTCCCATTTCTCTATAGCTTTAGCAGAAAAATATTTACAGTCTGTGGTTTGTGATACATTTTCAGGGTGTCTTCACATGTTTTTAGTTATCAAATCACTGTCTTATAAACAACATGTCATGCACCATTAAAAGCTATAAACACTCAAAATGAATGTTTGATTTCCTGATGTGTCCATAGCTTCACACTGGAGGCATCATCATTATGAAAGACACCAGTGAGGAGGAGGAGGAGCTGGTGGAGCCTGTCTCCGCTCATGGACCCAAGATTGAAGAAGAGGAGCAGGAGCCCGAGCCCCCAGAGCCCTTTGAGTACATCGATGAGTAGACAGGTCTGTATACTGTCAAATGGATTATATATATCCATATATAGATATATAGAGAGAGATAGATATAGATAGATATATATAGAGAGAGAGATATAGATAGATTTTTTTTTTTCAACATTTACTACAATAGATAGTATAATTTAAGATAGAACTAGAGGACTGATCAGAGCTGTAAAGTAGAAATTGCCTTTTGTGCGATTTTAGATATTTCAGCCTGGTTTATGGTTATTATGTATGTAACTACTAGATATTTACAAATGAAACAAAACTGGCACAAAGTTCAGTGGTTTCTATCGTAACAAGAGAAGCTTCAATAAGTGCTGTTGTTATTAAATCACAAAAGAGCATTTGATGTCAAGTTAAAGATAAGTCTTGATTTCATTGCTAGTAAATAACATCCTATATTTGGGATTTTTAAAATTTTTGGCATTTCTTTAAAAAACTGTAAAACTGTAGAAAAGAAAAACAGTTCCACACTTTTTGTCTTTTGACCCAGCGCACAGTCACAACTTTTTGGATGTGCATGTTTCCATCAACCACAAACTGTAAAACTCCCACAGTTTTCAGAAAGAAACACTCAGCTCCAATGCCTTTACCTTTAAATGGAAAACACTCAAAATGGTGTCTATAAACTGAACACTGAAACCCGTGAATAGGCCCCTGCAGCCCATCTATTTAACTAACTACTGTGTAATATTGTGCAGCCCTTTTACATGTCCCAGTTTAACCCAGTGGCAAACATGGGGAATTTAAACAAGAGTTCCCTGGCTGTCGGAGGGCAAACCTCTTAGAGCCAGTGAAGCTTAATGACTCTGGCTCTGTGCTGTTTGTGTTGGAAGAGCCCAGGCCTCGTATGCGGAGCCTCTGTTACATTCTCTTACATGTGAGGAGACCGATGGGCTGTCACTGACCAAATTAGGGCTGAAGAGAAAGCTCTGTCATATGTTCTGAGGTTTAAGTCCTGTTGAAGGCTTGGCATCTCTCAAAAGCAAAACGTGTTTTCCAAAACAAAATCTAAAACATGTCTGCCTAATTGCATGAAATTAGTCCAAACTTATGCTCTGGTAGAGTGGAGGAAAGAGTTTTCAAATAAACATAATACTTCTGTACAAATAAATGTTAAAAATAGTATTGAAACTAGATAATTTTTTTAACAACGTTTTCAACAACATTGCTGGAAAAAAACCCATACAAATTTGACCTTTCCTGAATAGTTATAGAATGACCCTGAATTGTCAGAGCTAATATAAAACCACATGAAAATATTCAAGAAAGTTGCATTATTTTATGTTGAAAACCAGACTTAATTGTCCAAAAAAATTCTTGTGTCATGTGGTATCAGTTGGTATAGAGCAGGGGTCTCCAACGTTTTTCTCCAGTGATCTACCTTTTATGAAACAAAAATGCCAGAGCGCTGCCAATATCAGCACTCACAAAGAAACTGAGTAAATATATGAGCCACGGCAAGCCTTAGATGGGGAACAGTTAAATGCTTATAAAACATAAATCATTATCCATTTATCAGTGCACCAAGTTAGGCATCAAAATGATACATTTACAGTGGTAAGTAATAAAATGTTACTTATTATCCACAATACATAGAATTCAGAAGTCCCTTGGAGGGGGGTAGAGAGCTACTGGTAGCTTCCGAGCTACAGGACTGAGACCCCTGGTATAGAGGATCAGTCATTTTCCTTAGTATTCAAATTTCAAGATGACATTTGTGCACTGTGACTACCATGATAGATTTTGGTGAGTTTTACCTTTCTAATTGTCTTTCTTTCTCTTTACAGGGCTCTGAGGATTTGAAATGTCAGCATGTTGTTCCCATCTCCCTCTGTGTATCCAAACATGCACTTCACTCCTGTTTTACGTGTTCCTTTCCTGCTCTGGCTTCTTTTTACCGGAAAGAGTGTTTTACATTCACAACTTGTATAATTTTTCTGTCAGTTCAATAAATAACGATGTATATTGGAGGTTGTGTTTATTTAAAATGAACTATTTTGGAGGAAGTTTACACCACTTCTTATACTACACATTCAAACAGGTCTAGGGTTTAAAAAAATCATTACCTAGATATTAACTGATACCAAAACTAGTATCAAAATTGAATGTTTATATGAGCAAATATTGATATTGAAAAAAGCATAGAAATAGGAGAAATTATTTTGCATAGTTTTAAAGTAGTCTTGATATGAACCACATGGGCCTATATTAAACAATGTTATGATCTGTTATGTAATATGTATATCTAAAAACATTTAGAGCTCTACTCTCAAACGGAAAACACTTTGTCCCACCTTGTGATGTCATGCGGTAATACAGGAAGTGTTCCACTGTATTTTTAAAGTCCATACATTTTGATTGGCAATTCCAGGCCTGAAATCAAAAAAAAAAAAAAAAAAAAAATCTACTGAACAAAAGGTAAAAGGTAGATGTTAAATTGAACTATCACTACATGACATCACAAGGTGTAAGAAAGCATTTTGAGCTTTGGATTAGGGTTAGTCAAACATGAAAGAAAGAAAACACATTTTCTGGTATGTTTTTGAGGAGGTAAAAACATAACATTGCTTAAAGCCCACAAGAGTAATTTTTGTGTAATATAGGACCTTTTAAAGAAACTATTATTCTGAGTTGAAAATTAAATTAAATTCTCTTATTGACATATCAAATCTTCAAATAGAGTTTGAAATTGTAGTACTTTAATAACTTTAGATTGTTCTGTATTTAGATGTTTATATAAAGTTTGTTTATAGTGACACAAGCAATATTTCCACACCAAAACATGTTAATTCAATCTTAAATTAGTTTGTGTTTGCCGGTTACATTCAAACACAAAATCTAGGTCAGTTTCAACTTACTGTGTATCCAAATTAGCGATTCTGTGGTTTTGGTCTTTTACTGTAAACACAATCCATTATCAGCTGTTACTCTAAGTTGTTGAATAACTTTTTTTGGCCAGAAGATTGGGAAATAGTAACAGTTGTATTCTGCGTGATAAACCATGTGTTGGAATGCCCCGAGTTTAATTTTGAAAGCGTTAAACTGTTGGAAAATTCTTGTGCTGTGAAGTGGTTTTCGGATGATTTGCTGCTTGTCAGTTTCCGTCAACGAAAGCCTGTGTGTGGAGCATATGGGTGCTTTGGACAGACTGTTGAGACGAATCAGGTCCTCCATTCACTTCCTATATATTTAGATGTGAACTGAACACCCACAAGACTCAATATTCACCCAATGTAATGTATTGATACCACAAAGACTATTTTGCAGTGAGATAACACTGAGGGGATGTTCTACATTTATGTCTATTAGCGGGATGTTCATCAGTTACCATGGTGACACAGTGCACACATTGTTTGATTGTTTGAAAAATCAAAAAAAGATACTAAATGGATTTAACACATTTTTTGTGGGTGAGAGACTTGTTTAGCAGCACAAATGAACTCGGCTGTTGTAGTTCCAGCTAAGTCAGTTCTTTCTGGTCAACGAAGTTAAGTGTAACAGAGTTTCAGATAGAGCACTGTGTCAAACTGAAAATCTTGATGGACAAAACTTGCATAACTACACAAAGTTGCCAAAAAACTTCTAAACTAGACCACCCCTTTTACAAAGTTACTGTTTCTCTCCTTCTATGTATGTGTAGTTTGACCTAGATTACAATGTGTTTGGGATTGGCTTTGTGTTGGTGTCCACATTTGGAAATTAAGTCCATTATTATAAGTCCATAATTTAGCTAAAAAAGTGATGAAACAAATCAGTAGACTTTGGGTAACCCCTTTGTCCTACACGTGCTCTTCTACATCCTCACGTATATATTATAATCCAGTATCCACGTTGCTTCTTTTTTCCACGATCATTTCCAGTAAAGAATCCTGTGGAACTCTATCATAAGGACATTTTCTGCTCCTTCCTCTGGCTCATCTTTCTCAAAAACTAAAGGTTTCCATTATATTTAGAGTACTGGCTTTAACGTGGCCAGAACACATGACAATATGTTCCCCTCTTTACTGTTGGCGGGTCTCAGATTTGTCAAAATGGGGTTACCTGGGACATTTCTAGTGCAAAACTGGGGCAAGTGAATTGGTTTTGGATGAATCTACTGGAACATGGCACAAACAGCTGCAAACTTTGACTGTCTCACGTAAATTGAGGCATCTGGTTACCATAATCTGTCATGTCATGTGATTGTAGGTGAGCATGGGTGAGTGTCACCAAATCCTACTTTCTTATTATTCAAAAGATGTTTGGTTTCATCAGTAAAGTAAGTTAAGGTACAAATGCACCAACTGTTGCACTATGTCTTGCAGAACCAGTAAAAGAAAGACCCCCCAGATTGTCCAGTTCAGGTCTAATGTTCAGGGGCAGACTGGTTCTGGTCCATGACGGGGTCTGTCTTGGCTTGCTGTGGACTTTGGCTTCATTCATGGTTCCTTATCAATAATTTAACGGTCCTATATCACGCAATATTAACCCTTGTGAGCTTTGAGTCACGTTAGGATGTTACTTCCTCAACAACAACAAAGGTGTGTTTTATTTCATTTGCACGCTTGAGTAATCCTTTATTGTTAGTCTGTCTATATTTCTAAAGCTCAAAATACTCTGTTCCACCTTGTGATGTCAGCATAGTGTAGTTTTCAAGTTTACATCTAATTTTTACATTTAGTTCAGTAGGAATTGGAAATTCCAGTGCTAAAATTATTCAAATGATTCTAGTAAAAACACAGTGGAGCAATTCCTCTATTACCACATCACATCACAAGGTGGACTGTTTTCTGTATAAGAGAAGAACTCAGCCTAAATATGCAGGGTTTGTGTGTTAAACATGTGAGAATGAAACAAAACACAACTTTTTGATGAGGAACCATCATAACGTAGATCAGAAAATAGTATGTATTATTAAATATTATGGACCCTTTAATGGAAGCATAAACTGCATATTCAAAACTGCACTAAATAACGACACAATAGGCTAAACTCTAGTAGTTAAAGTCTAGTAAATATATTATAGTCCATTTGTCACAACATTAAAATGCCAAACATGTTCATTATACACACACATCTTGGCACCTCTCCTATGACAGAGGTGCCAGTTCTGGGACTATTATAAATAAAGCACAGAAAATCAAAGCACTGACATTGTTAAGATCCCCTCTGTTGACTAGTTTAGTGTGTTGACATTCACTTGTCCCTTACAAACTCTGGCGGCCATCTTTACATCCAAACACTTTACATAATGTGTTCTGTTGTCCCTGGCATTTATCAGCCACAGCAGTACAAGAGCCATGGTAAATGTAAGCACCACATTTTAAGGACTGAACAGCTTCACACCAAAGAAGCTATTCTAGTAAAATACTATAATATCTCAATATATTTTGTAATTTTGTCAACCTAATATTACCCATATTACTCAGTTTTCTGATCTTTGTTATAATGTTTCATCATCAAACACACATTGGACAGTGTTTTGTTTCATTGACATGTTTAACACACAAAACCTGCATATTTAGGCTGAGTTTCAAACAGAAAACACTAGAATCATTTAGATAATTTCAATCTCTACTGAAAAAAAGGTAAAAAAGTAGCTGTTAACTCATCTGACAACTACTGCTTCATGACATCACAAGGTGGAACAGCATTTTGAGTTTTAGAGATGTAGACAGACACATCTCTGGGTATGTTTTAGATGAGGTAACAACATTTTAACATGGCTTAAAGCTCACAAGAGTAAATTTTGCTTAATATCAGACCTTTAATACCAAAATTTCTGATTCTTGACCACCTACATTTCTTTGGGAGAGTAACTAAAAGCTTTGAACTTTGGTTGTAGGCACAGCTGGACACCAGGCCTCGAGTAGCAGAATCACTAAGTCTGATCTCTGGGGAGCCTTGTGTAAAACAGAGGAACACCTGCACTTTGGGCAGACTCATGTTAAACAGATGAACAAAGATGAGGATCAGATTAGTGTCCCATTTCAGAAAAAGCATCTGTATTTTGGAGATTACAGGCAGCATTATAAGGCTATTCCCAGCACCAGACCTCTCTAAAACATTAAACTCTTGTGAAATCCGCATAATTATATTTGTTATAATTCAGCTGTCTACAGAAACCAAACACAAACATTGGATTGTATGTGGCTTTGAAGACTACAGCCTGCAAAGAGTCAAACTTATTTTCTAATCTTCATTTTTATCAATTGAATTCTTCCTTTATGAAATGATACAGCAGTTAATATTCAAGAATTTATTTGTTCTGAAAACCGTGGAGCTCAGTTACCGCTAGTCTAGACTCAACAGGCATACAGAGTCCAGCGGTGGATTCTGGCAGGTCTTGGTTTGGCCGTCCCTGACATTGTTCACATGGGGCTTTTATGGAGGGGAACGTCTCCAGCTGTGACTCCTTATTTCTCTGCAGGCGCCCTGACCACAGACAAGCTGAGGAAAGACTGCACCAGGCAAAGAGGAAAAGTACAGCAAGTGCAAATGCTAATCGAGTAGCAGTAGTGTTTAAAGGAGCATTAAGGAACTTTTTGGATGAGGTGTTTGCCACCTGCTTGGCTCCATGGACATGTCATTGCTTTGTCTGTAATGTTCCACAGTATGGCATTAGACTCATCTATACCCATGAAGACAGACAAGAGATGCCACTAAGTCGAGGTACAGGTCAGATCTGTGTTTTTTCTGAAGTATTTTCATAGCAATGTAACTGTAATTGAACAAATGCAGACAGTTGTAGACCATGTAGACCAGTTTAATTCCATACTGCGGGATATTCCATTTAAAGTAATAGCATCTCCATGGAGACAAGAGGTTTGCAGACTTTCCACCAAAAAGTTACCTTTAACTGTCATTTCTTTAGAAGATAATGATGAACATTAAACTGTGTATTTATGGGAATTTGTCTTTTTTTGATGGTTTAAACATTTTATGATGAATTTGACAGTGGCTATATTAAGCAGACATCGCTACTGTTGAAATGAGATGCTTTTATGTAAATGGACTCTTTAATTTCTTTTGTACCTGTCCGTGGACTGCAGATGGGAAGAAGCTTGTAGCTGAATCTGGCACAGAGCATCTTTTCTGCTTGAGATCAATGAGATCAATTCAGAGCACTGTCCTTGTTTTAAATAAATAACACTTGAAATGTATACTTCTCTAATAGCAAAAATAAATCTATGACATAATATTACCATTATTATTCCTACTGCCTCCTTTGTCACAGACCATTACGGTGGTCTTTTGGCGACAACGACTGAGTAATAAACTTTATGTTTACATTTGTTTGAACTCATCTTGTAAGATTCTTTCATCTGAGATTTTCTCACACCAGCCTCAGTGCAGTGCACAGAGTACATGACATTGTGTTTTCAGTGAGTTTGCAGCAGACTAAACAGACCTGCTGCCTGGCTGCTGCCCTCACACGCCACTGTAAATCTCTACAGGAGCTGGGCACTGGGAGCCTCGATGATCTCTTAAATACTGAAATGAAAAAAGAAAACATGACAACGTAATGTAACCATAGATTTCTGAAAGCTGGTCCAATTTTATACCTCACTTACCTTCTGTATTTGGAGTGTACTAATTATTCACCACAATGACTTTAAAAGGACTTTTTACAATTTTCAGAGACCAAAGTGGAATTTTGCGGTGATGCTAATGCTAACAATTGACATATTTTTACCTCAAGAGCTGCTCACACAAAATGCAGCAGCTCTATGAAATCATATACTCTCTAAAATGATCAAGTAATGATAAAAGAGCACTTAACTTTTGTGGTGCAGGGTCCACCTGCTGGTCTTCATAGAGATTTTACAGCTTTAGCTAGAATGCTCCACAGTATGACATTAAGATTATCTGTAGTCATGGGAACGAGCAGTTGACACCACCAGTTTAAGGTCAGGTCAGACCTGTAGAGGTGAGCTAGCTCTGGTTTTTCTGATTTCTTTCAGGTATGTTTTAGTGACAACATACATGTTCAACAAAACAAACTAAATAAATGCAAAATAGGTATGTTTAATGTCCGTGGAACATCTCTATGGAGACCACTGTCAGAAAAGTTACATAGTGAATCATTAATGTGTTGATACAGATTTTTAAAAAAGCATTTACGTGTGCCTTTTTGTAGTACACACTGAATGTAAATGATTTATTTTTACTACTAAAAACTATAATTATATCCTAAAAGAAAAAAAATATTTTCTTTGATTAAATTTTGCACTCAATAATCACAATTAATCTTGAAATCCCTCAAATGAAAAGCAAGCAGAGATGATCTGACAGCCCACGTTGTGTGTATTGTATTCTGTGCATATTACAGGTACAATGTACAGTACATAGTGATGTACAAGCAGACAATATAAACAGGCTAAAATGGAAAGGTACAAAGAACAGCATGTACAAAAGATTATTTAATGATTCAAGTACCACTATACTTCAGTCCTGTACACACTGTACATGATTTATATCCCATGGTGCATTGGCTTAGGTTTCCTTGAACTACATACATTACAATGTGTAGATAAAAAATACAGTTTAAGTCTATGGACATTTCACACAATAAAAATGTGTCCGGGTCATTAGTCAGCTCCACAGTTTAGAGTTAAAATACTGTGAAATGTAATAATTTGACTGACTCTGAAAGCACAAACACTAAATATGAGTTCTATACTGCTGGTACAAATAATGTGGCAACCTTAAAGGTGATCTATGCTACGTTTTTTTGGGGAGGGTCCTGCTTGTCTCCATGGCAATATTATTGAATTTCCTGAAATAAATATGTTTAATGTCATACTGTGGAACATTCCAGGCAAAACAATAACATGTCCATGGTGACAAGCAAGTGATGGACAGCCCTCATCAGAAAAGTTACATAGTGCACCTTTAACATAAAAAAATAAGTCGAGATTTAAATTAGACTGTATTCACTGTAAAAGGTTCAACACGTCAAAGTCTTACCATCCCAAATGGTAAACATCAGTGGTTTCTTAAACAGTTTGTGCAAAAAAAGTAAAAGCATGTTGACATTCACAAAAGCAACATAAGAAACAACATAAGAAAACAAAAATATCCAATTGTAAAGTTGAAATGGAGTTGATGTATACACTGATCATTACCATTCACAAAGCTCATTTATCATATTTGTTTACCACAGATTTGACCAAATTCAAACCTGTACAATCAAAATCATTGGGGACTTTCTCGACTTAATCAGTCCTTCCAAAGCGTTCTGTGTACCATTCTCTCATTAAGGTCGCTGGTTTAAAGCAGTTTTAAAGGCTGAGTGGTCCTCCATCTTGCAGGCCTCCTCATTTGAATCAAGTGCCGGCAGTCTTCATCAGGAGCAGTAATCACAGCTGCACGTTCAAAAAATACTAAAATGTAATGAGAGTTCTGCCATGTTGTTTAGTTTGAAATGCCTTCAGCTTTAAGGGGGCACAACTGGCTTCCACGCCACCGGAAAAAGGGACGCTATTGAGCTAGGAGCAGGGTGGGGGTCAGGGTCGCGGGGGGTCGTAGCCCTGGTAACGGTTCAGCTTCTCTGGGTCATTGGACGCCATGTGGGTGAAGTCCTGGAAGATGTCCTGATAGGTTTCATCCCCTGTAAGCGCAACACAAAGATAATGTAAATGCATAAATAAAAAACAATAGGTTACACTGATTTGCAAAGTGAGACATTCAAAGTTGAGACCGATAAATATGAAATAAATAAATAACTACCGGGGCTGCAGCTAATTATTCCTGGTAATTGACTAGACCTTTTTGACTTTTTAAAATTGTTGACCTTTTCTACTGAGCCCAGGATAAGCTAGAAATATGCCACTTGAGGACTTCTTGATTGGAAAAATAGTTATCGGCTCAGTCTCGGTATTAAAACTGCAACTGCTATTACGTGACGTGTTAGGAGTCTGTGCATCATCTAGACAACAAATAGTGATAGCTGTTGATTGTTATAGCCCTAATAAATACAGATACTTCTCACTCAGTGTAATAATAGGTAATAATAGAGCAGAGTGCAATATCCTGACAGGGGACTGTAGTGTAAAAATAGCATGAAAATTACCTAACCATAATCCATAAAATGTGTACAATATTGAATTCCTTAGTGCTGCTGTAGTACTGATTAAAGGTGCACTATGTAACTTTTCCGGTGGATGGAGTGCCACCAGCTTGTCTCTATGGAGATGTTAGGATGTTATTTCACAGTATGCCATCAGGCCAAGTTGCAGGTCTTTGCAATAAAAACACATTTTAATTTATAAATGCAAGATAGATATGTTTGAGCGTGTACTGTGGAACATTCCTGACAAAGCATGAACATCTCCATGGAGACAAGCAGGTGGTACTTAAATCTTTCTATATCACTAACGATACAACGTTAGAACATTGTATATTATTGAGGCTCATGAGCAAAATAATGTTAAGGAGGAAAAAGAAAAGTCATTCGTACCTGTGAGAGCTTCAACAGAGAAACGCAGAGAGGAAAACAAACCAGAAACAAATAGAAGCAAAAGGTAGAAGAAAAGTGACACAGAAAAAACAGGCCCAGAGAGGTTAGTTTTGTTACCAACTGTATTGTGTTTAAAGTGCACGTTATATGTACAAAAATACAGCTGTCGGCCTCAGCACCCCAAAGAAAACAACAGAAGAAGGCACAAACTCTGGGAGGAGACAGAGAAAGCAACAGAACAGAAAAACAGTGTGAATACAGAAAATGAAGACAGCACTTCAGTAAGTTATTGTTCAAAATGTGACAGTGCTAGTTCTAGTTAGTCAGTTTTGGTCGGAAAATAAAGAAAGAGATATTAAATTATAAACAGGCTTCACCCGAGATCCCAGGTAAGGAAAGAAAAATGGTAAAAAGGCGCACTATGTAACTTATCGTATCCATGGAGGCGTTATTGCTTTGCCTGAAATACTCTGCAAGTAGAGGCAGGTTTGTGGAGAGGCGATCCTGCTCGAATTATGTGTCCCCAGATATTTGTTCAGTTACAGTTGTTTGTGGAATGTTCCAGGCAAAGCAATTACATCTCCATGGAAACACTGAAGTGGAAACCCATCCACCAGAAAGGTTACACAGTGTTCTTTATATGTCAGCAATCCCAACTGTTAGTTAGTAAAGTTGTTTGGGTGGTACGATGATTAGAGCTGTTTTACTCACATTCACTATCACTGAAGACCCCTCATCAGACATACACTTTAACAGCTGATTGCACTGATGAAGAGCTCTTAATGCCAAAGAGGTACCAAAGCAAAACAACCTGAGGCTATTTCAAGGTGCACCATGTAACTTTTATAATGGGGGTCCACCTGCAAGTCGCCATGGATACATTAATGCTTTGCCTGGAATGTTCCACAGTTTGGCATTAAATCTAGCATTTCAAATTATAAGTAGGAAAAATTAAAAACATACTGCAAGCAATGAGCCTCTCCACATATCTTATCTGTAACTTGGTTTTGTAAGTTTAATGCCATGCCGCAGAACATTCCAGGTAAAGAAATAACATCTCCATGGAGAAAAGCAGAAAAGTAATGCATAATGCACCTTAAAGACCTTAAAGATGGCGGAAGCACTCATTTCCGTTACAGAAGATTTAGTGATTGTTAAGACTATGACAATAAGTAATTATCTTTTTATAGGTCCAAACACTCTCTTCATTTAATCAACTATGATTAAATAACAGACGAAAACAACCAGTAAACACTAAATTAATTTGCTCTTCCTTCAGGAATAAATGATGCACACAGTACAATCTAAATGCCATGGCAACTCCTCTAAATAACGAAGACCACGTTTCTGTAAAGCTCTATAACAAAGTGCTTGTGTGCCCTCAGAGGACTAGAGCATTTTGGAGTAGGTTAAAAAAAAAAATAGGGGAACATTATCATCAATTAACAAAATTCAGTGGGGTCATCCGTCTCATCTCTACACAAAGCTTAGACATAAACAAAGTAAAATAAACTTATACACATACACGTGCCTGTTCTAATCTATTGCACTGTTATGAAATAATGCATTCACATATAGTTCTGAGTTTACCCACTAACATTCAACATGGTTAATGTAATGGCACTACAAAATTTACAATTCAGGATTTCAGGAGGGAACGAGTGATAAACCACCATAATTCAATAAAAATAGTCATTTGAACCAAGCAGACTCATCCATCTTTCTATAGGAATAATAGACGAACTATGTATGCATGTATACCCTTTACAACATGTAAAATACTTCATCCAAAATTATACTTATTCTTTAAAATAATATATTTCTGGACAGACTTGTATTTACCACTTCTCAAATATGGGCTATTTAGCAAACCAAATCATCAGTTATCAGGCATTAAACTGGTTAATGAGAAGTTTACAGTGACATCAAAACACACTGGTTGCATATCAATGAACAGGAATGTGCATTACTTTGTTTACAATATTGCAAGATCGATTATGGCTTGAATAACGACATGCATTATGGTAATACTGTATTTTGATGGATGCCATAGTTATTGCCTAGTTAGTTTTGGCAGTAAATGTTTGTACAATGAGGTTCGACTGCTGCTGGATACTGGAGAATACTGCGTCCGGGGAGCTAGATGTTGGCTGATCATAGCACCAAATATAGGCCCAATTAGAGATTGTAATTTGAACTTTCTAAATGCTGTTAATAGTAGTTACTTTATACAAAAATATGAAGCTTTAAAATAAGCATTTAAAGGGAATATTCTCTGTCCAATCAGAGACAGGTGCTTCTTTGTGCTATTAATACTTTATCCAGCATGAAACAACACATTTAAATAAAGTTATCTCATTTTGGAAGAAACTCAGCGTCCAGCGTGTGATGGCTTTAATTGTCCCACTTGTCACCAACTGACACAGCCCATGACACAACACAGGAGCCACTTTAAAGCTTAGGGCTCCCACAAAAGATTTTCAGAAGTCTTTAAAAAAAAAAAAAAATCTATATTTTTCTGTTGTGAACTGAGCCTTGCTGTTCTATGTTTCCCCGAGTTGCAGGCAAATGAACTCCTGCATACACTTCCTGTACTGCATCTCAGTGGGGCTGTTGGAGTTGTATTGACCTGACTGACTGTAGGGTCCCTCTGCCTCCCGCATCTCTTCATTCATCTTGGCCAATCTCAGCCTGCAACAACAAGCAAGTATTTAGCATGTATAAACCACAGATATACCACCCTTTAAATGTTCTAATGATGAAATAGTTGACTCACAATGTGACGATGTCTGCATTTGCTGCTTCCACAGCGATTGAAAGAGGCGTTTGCTCATCTATGTCTGCAGCATTTTGATTAGCTCCTCTTTTTAAGAACAAACAAACTTGCCTGAAGAGAGATTCAACAGAGTTTCTCAATAAATGCAATTTGTTAATCTGATCAAAAATACTCAGTAGTTCAGTGGACTGACCCTGTGTGTCCGAGCATGGTGGCGTGATGAAGCGGCCCTCGTCCTTGAGCGTCCTGCTGATTTACATTGGCTCCATTTTGTAGCAAAAACTCACAGGTGACCAGCGACCCCTATATGTAAGGGATGTATAACATTATTACAAACATTAAAAGAAGACAGTGTTATTTTATCAGGTTTACAGTATTAAACTATAACATATGGAAATCAATCAATTTTGTTCATTGTAAACCACAGTATTGATCTTAAATGGGTTTATATTAGAAGCAGGTTCACTGACTTCATGTTATAATACTGAATATAAAAGGCCCCTCATCGTGGCATTTCACTACATTAAGCAGCAGATTTTTTATTTATATCCCCTGAGGAAAGCTGTTGCGGCCAAATCCTACTTAGACCGCTGAGAGTTGCAGGTCCGGAGAAAGTAAGTGACACGCTGTCTTGTCTCTGGCGTCTAAGTAATCAAATCCAGTCTTAATATAAAAATAGTCTTTATTACTTCTTAATTGGCCAAAATTCATTACTGTATAAAAAGAATCTAAAATCGTACAAAGATGCCAAGCATGGCGGTCAACAAACTGTGTGCTTCACCAGATTGAAACACCTGTGGAGCACAGGAGCGGTCCTCCCTAATGTAGCCTACCACACGGCGCCCTCTACAGGTGACGCACACACAAGACACATGGCTCCAACAAAAGCCATAGGCTGAAACGCGTACGGACTTTGTAAGTTGCCCATTAAGACATGCCGTAAATTAATAAAGGCATTTTATTTTAACCAGTGAGTGCCTTGGGTTTTTGCATCTTTAATCTGATTTTTTTATTGTTGAAAAATGTCAGGGGCTAGGTGAAAATTGAAATTTTCAGAGTTCTGCCTCAAATGCAGAACAATGAAGGAACATGCAGGAATCAATGGAGGTGAAGCTTAAAGTAAGCTAAAGATGAGGAAAACAGTTATAACATGTTTAAAAGTTAATAAAAGTGAATGTCCCATTTGTTTATTCATCTATTTATTTATTTGACTGGGACAGTGCAAGTCAGTATAAGTTAATGTACTTTAATTTGCTTGCACATTCATAATGAATGATAGTGATGATGCATTTCATTCATTCCTTCAGGTTTATTTGCTTAAGCCTTACCCCATGCACCGCCATGATGAGTGGCGTCCTCTTCTCGTCGTCCGTGTTGACCCAGTTGACCTCTCCTCCATGGGCCAGAGCCTCGGCCATGTCGGGCAGACTGCGGGCACATGAGGCCCAGAACAGCTGCAGACCGGGGCTGTACTCCTTTGGCTCATAGAATGCCACGTCTTTACAGGGAGAGGGGGGCGGCAGGGTGGCAGGCATGGCCATAGGAGGGGACTCTGCTCCATCTGGAACACACAATCAGACCATTTATACTGTAGTGAAAGGTTTATAAGGTTTAACAAGTATAAACACAGATTTTAAAGTGTCTTTACCAGCTTCACCCATGCTGTTGCTGGAAGGAGTCATTGCCAGCATCTCTTTGCTCCCATCAGCGCTATTCTGAATGCCACTGTCTGCACTTTTCACTGGAAGAATAATGTCAAAATGAGTCACGTTAGAAAAACAAAATAAAAAAAAACCTCTTTTGCAAACAATATAAAATATAAGGAAGACCTCTAGTGCATTTATATGACATTTGACACTTATAAATATTGTTATTATTTTTTATTAATATCTTCATTCTTGGTACTATTATTAAACATACTGTATGTTTTAGACATATGAGGTAAACCTTATATTTTTTATCAATAGTTTTTTGCTTCATAGCTAATGAAAAAAACAAAAAGAAAACAAATATTAACTCTTTCCATCACCTTATTCAGACTGTTATTAAAACCACAATACAACTTGTACCCACAACCGTGCCTTCCCAAGAAATTATTAAGTTATACTCTAAGAAAATGGTCCCAAGACCAGGGGTCAGCAAAAGGTAGGTGATGAGTTATTAGTTCACGATCCAAGCAGTGAAATGAATGGAGAGAGGGCAAGGAGAAGCAGGGGACAGAAACTGTGCACAAATACTTACTGTTCCTGAGTTTGGAGGAGGTGTCAAAGTAGGAGAAGAGCGAGTCAAGCTCATCAGGACAGAAGAGAGAGTCACGGCGGGCCTCCGAGCCACCGGCTGCAGCTACGCAACGGATCATGGGAGTTTCGAAACATGGTTGGCAAAGGGTGTCGTTGGGTTGCAAGGGAAAATGGTATAGGTTTGAGGGAAGGTGGGAAAAGCAGGGTTAGTCCAGAAGCACAGATCAGCCACAGGGACAGGGCAAACAAATAAAAGACTGATAGAGAGAGAGAGAGAGACAGAGAGAGAGAGAGAGAGAGAGAGAGAGACAGACTGAGGGGAAACAGTGACACCATCTGGCCAAATAGACAAACTACAAGAAGCATGGGAGGCTCAGACATATGCTGTTCACAGTGAACAATATGCCAAAGGGTAGAAGCTGCTTTCGAGGTATACAACTCTGAGTCTGTATTAAAGGTGCCCTATGTAACTTTTCTAGTAGAAGATCTGCCACCTGTTTGTCTCCCTGGAAATGTGAATGCTTTGCCATGAATGTTCCACAGTAAGGCATTAAAGTTGTTTACTTCCATGGAGACAAGCAAGTGGCGCCACCAGTCAAAGTTACAGCTCAAATCTGAAGAAAGGCGACCCGGCTCACAGTAAGAATGCATGTTTTACACGATATTGTTAAACAAAACACCTGTAACTGACTAAATGCAAGATGGATAAGTTGAATTGCATAGTGTATGATGTGGCTTAAGCAGCAACGTCATGGAGACCAACAGGTAACAGACCCACCACCAAAAAAGTTACATAGTGCACCTTTAATGTACTCAATAATAAGTTTTTTCCCACCACCTTTACATTTGACAGTAAAATGTGCACTATTGATCCTTCACACAAAACACAACACAAAGACTTTTACATCTTTGTGCTTACCTGTTTGTCCTGAAGAGTTTGAGCCAGGGCGCATTTTGGGGGTGGGAGGGGGAGCTCGGGGGGGCATGTGGTCGGAGCTACTGCTGAGCCTCTTCTCCTGTTTGCTCAAAGACACAACTTTAGATCTCAGCTCATCGTCAGTTGGCCGCCGCACAAACCGCCGGTCCACGTATTTGGCTTTGATGTAAGCTTCCACCTCGTGTCTGTGAGAAGATATAAAGAGAGAGAGATTAATGCAACACAATTAACAGTACAGTACTGAGTAAACTGTGATTCCTGTGAGGGAGCTGATGTAAAATATACACACTGGACCATGTCATACCTCGGGTCTCCAGGGTTTGGTTTTCTGGCTCCTAATTCTTCACGTCGAGCCTCATAAATCTGGTTGATGACTTTATTTCCAAGTTCACACATTAACTTTAAAGAGACAAAGGAATAAAATATGTACTTTCTAGCATGCTTTCTTCAACCAATAAGTTTTGTTATGTATATGTAAATAATAATTCATTATATATTTTTTATTTATTTTTCTGTTACGATAGCAATGCAAATTTAAAGTAACAATTCAGACTGAAAAAACTAAGCTCCTCAAAATTTTACACATTTCCAGAGTCTTTACCTTTAGAAGTTCTGGTTCCCATGTGTCCAAAGTTAGAGATCGCACTTTGGAGAAATGCACCCCCAGGCTCCTATATTAGTTGAAAAATGACCAAAAAACCAAAAAAACCCAAAACACATTTAGGTTGTTGGATCCTACTCTCAACAATAAACATATCCGACATCCTAATCATGATCAAGTTATCTCAAAAGCTGTAACTTAAAATATTACAATATTATCTTTACCTGTGAATGCCGGAGCACTGGATACAGAGCGTGATGCCCAAGTTGATGCTGGCCCAGCGGGGGTCCGGCTGCCCACAGTCGCAGCAGCAGGAGTTTCCAGGGATGGCCAAGACTTTCTGTAGAGCTGTCTCCCCTTTTAAAGAGCGCTCCTTTGTTTCCCCTCCAGAATCCAGACTACCGGTGGACGTGGAGGACTTCCTGTCTAGTTTCTAATTTAAGACACGTGCGATGTAGTTTAACATTTACAGAACTTCCCCATCTTAAAATGTTATCAGTTTATAGCTTGGTTTAAGTTGACATTACAACATACCATAGGCAAATAACATTTCATACCAATGGACAGCTAAAATAATAAGAAACTATAAGAAAATGCAGACTTTTTCTGCAATATCCCGAGTTCTAGGGTCTCATCACTAATAGAAATCTTCAGGTTCATTTAATATACATTTGATCAATTTGTTATATCATATTCCCAGTTGGGGGAAATTTCTCAAAGGTAAACTCACAAATGTAGAACAAGATGATTTATATTAGAGACTCGATCATAGAACTTACTATAATATAACACAAATCTACAGATTTTTTTTTTTAAAAACAATATTTATTTTAGTTATCCCTCTGCGTTAAATATTGACCAATAGTGTTGTAATGCCATACATGTGTCTTACCTCAGCATCTTCTCCCTTGTCCCTGAAGGCCGTGGCAATACTGTTTTGGACGGCTTTAATCCAGGCTTGCCTCAGTTTCTCAGAGTCTGCTTGCATCATACAACTCCTGAACAAATGAATAAACCAAATGATTTAGTGCTATATCTGACATACAGGCACCCACATCCATTGAGCAGTTCATGACTTACTTAGTAGGCGAGACAACTTCGAAACAAAAGCGGCGTTCGATATCTTCACAGTGTTTAACTGTGCATAGCCTTAAATCCTCCACCACCACTGTAGGGTTGTCCTGCAGAAAAAAACTCCTCTATAAGTACAACATACATTAACACAGTAATGTAACATGTATGTTCATACCTTAAATTTCTTCTGGTAAACTAGTTGATTGTTTTGTATGGAGAACCAACGCCTGAAAGAAGATCACAAGTTAACCACAGAAAAAAAACTTGCATGCATTTCCAAGTAGTCTTTTAATAAAAACTGCAGCATAAATCTGTTGTGGCTTTAGGCAAAACAAATTATTTCTGAGACCCTGTGACTGACTTCAAAGCTGTAAAAGAGGTTGATCCCTTAAGCCATAGTTCAAATACTTGCATTTTTGCTACTGGAAATAAATATGGGCAATATTGACGAACTAATGTTAATCTTGATATATTACAGTATCCTGATGATAATATTCAAATTATCTTTAAGCATCAAACACATGTGAAATTACTGTAAAATGACCATACAAATTGCAGATATACCACTTAATATCTTTACTTGAAGTTTACAACATTTAGCTCTTTGTGCTGCATTTTGTATAAATTATATACCCAATATTATACTTTTGCCATATATTCAAAACGACATTCATGATATTATCATTATTTTGATAATCTGCCCACCTCTAATAGGAAATATTTACTGATCTATAGATGTGGTACCTGTTCCATGTTTTGAAAGCATTGCTTGCCCGTTTGAAAAGGTATCCCTCCATGGCAATGCCGTTGTCTGCATCGACATTGTACTCCAGCTTTGTGTCATCATTCGAGAAATCCTGAACATAACACAAGAACCACAGAACATATCATTAGTATGAAAAATTACATTAAAATGTGTTTGAGTAGTGGCCACTGACAACACAAATGCGATTTATTTAGATAAATCTGTTAAATCACTTCCTCTTGATAAGATTTCAAGAGGATAAAAAGTAATAAGACACAACACGTAATATGCTTTCACTAACATACTTGTTTATAGCATATGACACACAGCTTCAAGGCATATGCAGTTATTAGTATTTCCTAGGTTAATATGAACTCAAAAACAACAAAATACTTAATGTAAAAACAAGGCTAGTTAATAGAAACCTGGATGCATACATTTTTGCATCGACTATAAAAGAGCCTTGATAATGATAGTTTGTGTCACATGATCTGGTGTGTTGTCATGGGACTGTCCCAGCTTTAACTACCTGATCCACTGCACACGTTTCTAACACGCTTCAGGCTTCTGGTCTCCATCAGGTGACACACAACACCGGCCGTGAGAGTTACGTTTCACTGATGCTTGGACACAAACTACAACAGAACCTCTCTCTCTCCTTCACTGTAAGGAGCCTCTGTCCCTTCTCGAAACAACCAGCAATTTATGACCAAATACACATGTCAAATAACATGTCATGCTTACAGTTAAAAGCTCATTTCCAAATTTTGCTTGCTCTGTTCACTGAAGAGGGTTTATGGGGCTCTGTGTCGCAGATTATACAGGTTACTCTATCTAACGTGATAAAAGACAGAACTGACAGACAGATGAATGGGGAATACAAGTATAAACTAATGACAGTCTCTCAATTTGCCATCTGTTTTTACTACAGGCACTATAGACAAAATACTGTTTGACAACAGAAGACAGAAGTGACCTTAATATTATAATTATGCATTACATTAAAAAAAACTTCTCCATAAATAGTATGCATAGTGAAATAAAAATGTGGTTTAAGATTTCTCTGAGAAGAATTTAGCGACAACTCAAGTGGTGAAGCATTCACCCAATGTCAATATGTAAGTAGCAAGCAGCAAACACTGAAAATCAACAATGCCACATCACAATACATGATGCTACAGAGCATAGAGCATCACACACTCCAAAACAAGAAACAAGTATAGTTTAGTGTCTCCACAGTTACTGCAATGCAGCCGCGTGCAGGATGGTCAGATAAAAGATGAAGGTTACAAAACGGAAGTGAGATGGAAAATGATGCGGGCACTCTACGTACGGAGGATGACCTCCAAGCGCAAAAGTTGCGATAGTCTGGTAAAGACTCCTCCTAGAATATTACAAAGAAACAGACAATTTGTGTAATCTGTACAATGATGTAGTTGAAATGGAAAGAAATCTAAAGGAGCAGACTGTTAGTTTCTAAAAATAGCCTTAGACACATGACATGCATAAAACATACACTATTAGCATGATCTGACGTTCAGTCACTCACCAGATACCAGACATAGTGAAAGCGGCTGAAAATCTTCATTTTACTAACAACTCGTGTTAGAGCATCTCTAAAGTCCCAGTGTATCTCAGTGACAGCCTGAGTCTGGGACGGGCCACCTGTCTACAGCTCACCTCCTCCTCCTCCTGTGTTTGTGTGTACACATGCCTATCACATCTATAGACCCACCCCTGGTGTTATTCTCACTGCTACCTGAAGGTCACCTGCTCCTGCCTCTGTGATGCTGCTGTCTGCCCACAGACAACAGTAAAAATTCAGGGCTCATTTTTTTTTTTTTTTTTTTACACAGATAAGTATACAGTACAGTACACACTGTAACAGTTCACATTCAACACTACAGATTATACAATAAGTAACCTCTTGAACACAAATAATAGCACAACTTGCCATCACTTTCATGTAATTAGAGAAGACATTAAATCTTTAGGGCAATGACCTTTCTGTCTCTCTTATAAGACCACTGTCATGCCTCTATAGACAGAGTTGCAGCTGAATAATTCATGACCCCTGATGGGATGCATACTAAACGTGACCTTAAGACACACTGTTCTACAGTGATCAGTGTCATGATACGAACAACACAGCCTTCATTTGTGTACAAAGTAACTACGATGACCCTCAATCAAGTCTTTATTAAAAAAAAAAAGAAAAAAAGAATAAAATTAACCCACAAAGTCTTTCAACAGAAACAATGCACTGAAATGCACAATTACATGCTTGGCCTTTTTACCCAGAAGGATTACCTGAGTAAGATGACAGTCATGCATGTTTAATACTAAACATGAGTGATTACTCATCTCTGAACAATACAGGCTCTAGAATTATTAATGTACTAATGTAATATTTTATAGGGGTATTATAGTTCAAAAGAGCCTTACCTGCAGAGCAGCCTGGAGCAAGCAGAAAGAACAAGGGGAAAGTGGAAGAAGATAGACAGTTTGTTAAGGCACCAAGAAGAAAAAACGATAAAAATAGCATCTGTAAAGCAGCGTCAGGACAGGTGGAAGTTAGAACATAAATCGTCAGAGATGAAGATAAACATAAAACATGTAACTATAGACAGAACTGTTATGTTGACACAGCCAGGTTTTACATTAAACAAGATGTTCTTCAAGATCTGTTACATTTAATCCCCATAAGAAAAAATGACTTAACCTACATATCTAGATTGTAGAAGCTTTGCTCGAAAAACAGAACTTGTTTGTTTAGAAACTGTTTCCGTGACTGGTAAATTATGCACAAGTGTGTGGCTGAGATCATCCGTGTTGGTTACATTACTTCAGGGGGAGAAGCGACGTGTTCATTCACTTCTAGAAAACACTGAAATACTCTCTGGACCACAGGGGACCATTGGACTGTATCCAAGCACCCTCATCTTACTATTTATGAATCAAAGACCATAATGAGTCTGGGTCCGAAGGTTTACAACGGTTAGACTACAACTACATAACTGTAGTTCAAAATCATGTACGCAGCAAATTCAAAAGTGTTGGTGTTGTTGTGAGTAAAGTGAAGAAAATCCAGATATTTTTCAACATAGTAAAGAGTTATTTCAACTATAACAGTGCTGTAGTTGTTGAGTCACAGTGTTGACATAAAATGAGTAGTTGATTCACAGTGTTAACGTCAAACACTTAGAAAGTGTCTGTTTTGAATATTACACTACATCAGTGTTGGACTTTTGTCACGTTTCCAGCGGGAGAGCTACAGTCTGAGAGGGAAGCCACATTTCACCGTTCGAAGCTAAGCTAAGCTAACAGCGCAAAGCCAACAGCTAATAGCGTTTGTTTTTTAGTAGAACCTGAACTCAACGAGCCTAAAGTCCAACCACCTGAGCTCTCACATGCCCCGGGTCAGATTACTTTACCTTTTTAGGACACTCTGCAGTGTTTTAATTCATAACATTACTAAATATATTTGGTCTAATGCTAGTAGCAGTAAGCTAACTAAATTAGCTGTGACCGTCAATGTTGCCGTCACTGATGTCCATGAAAATTGAGTAAAATAGCTACAAATTGTATTAAATTAAGAGTAACGTTACTTCCAAAAAATATTTCTCAAGTCTAAGTAAAAAGCAGAAGTCCAAAAAATGTTATAAGTAGCTAAGAGTAAAAGTATTCGGGAAACTACTCCTCAAGTAACTTAACTTAAAAGTAACTGGACAAAAATCTGATTTGTCATTTAAAGTTAATGCAATTGCGAGGATGAAACATGAAATAGTACTCATGTCTGGTATTTTTACAGTGGGAAGAAAGTACAATATCTGTAAACAGTGACTCAAGTAAATGTATTAGGTCATAATACATTAGGTCGTTGTAATGGTTGTGACAGGCCTGCCCTACACTGAGTGTATGTAACGCGATGATTTAGGACATTCATGTACATGCGGGGCTCATTGCTTTCGATTTTCAAAGTACTGAAATGGGAAATTCAGAATCGTAACACTTTGTTGCAAGCCGAAAATCTATTTGCTTTTTGTCCGTGTTTTTGTCGTAGAGGTGCCCTCAAAGCCCCGTGACAAGTGTCCATGATGCTCTTCACTTTCCGGACCGGGTTACGGCGCAGCGGCGCGCTGCCTTTAAGCGGGATTGGAGAGGCTCTCCGCGGCTACACTGCAGCAGACTCTCTGAGGGGAGCTGTCGGAATTTCCGGTGTTTCTGCAGGCTGTACATCACGGGCAGCGGGGACGCGGTATACGCTCCGTAGCCTGGAGTGGACTGGGCACCAGAGGAGGTGGAATTGTCTCTAAACAAGGACTAAACCCGCACTTGACCAGGTCTAACCCGACACCTGCATACGCCTAAACCAGGTGAGTCCCGCTTTGCCTCTGCTCCGTCTCGAGGAGACCGCAAACAGCGGGTCCACGATATCACGCAGCCCCAATCCAAACGCCCTCACACGGTCCTATCTCAGCCTGCAGCCGGTACTGATTCCCCTTTCCCAAACGAAAATCTAATGGCCGCGACTTGGACCCCCGGTCTATACTGAAGTGAAGGGCAGGTTAGCATTCGTTAGCTTAGCTCTTCCGAGTTTTCACCGTGTTTTTCACACATTGGGGCTGCATTCTTTCGCTGTATTCACATTTCTTTAAATAATAGCTTATAAACGTGCACACTTTTGTGTGGTGTGTTGGGGTAGGATATTGTACCAAGTGGAGAATTATTTGAATCAAAATGTTAATAGTATTCTGTAAAAAATTTAATATCTTCAAGTATGATGTCCTGCCCAATAGAATGTTTTAACATACTATTGACTTTTAGTCAAAACGAGTAATGATACATGATTTTTTTGTATTTTCTTTAGGGTGAGTGTCTTGCTGCTGGTTCACATGCATCCCCAGCTCCTAAAGGCTACAGTGGAAAGGCTCAAGCCATTAACCATCTCGTCAGAGATTTGCAGGTATGTCATGAAATGGTTAAATGTAGAACTGAAATGTAACTTCACCAAAAATTTTGTAATTGACTAACTGAATTTTATATATGTGTTAAGTAGTTGTAATTTTTGCCTTAATCTCATTTTATTTTCGTGATTAATGGCATTTCGGTGTTTAGTTTCTTGTGGGTCTTGCATTTAAAAATAATCTTTTCTAAGGGGCTACATTTTTTTCAAATTACCCTTCAAGTTATTTATTTGAATGGTTCCTGTATACAAAAACACATACAGCTCATGCAACAGAATAACCTGCTTAATAGGAACAAACAAATAATGATATATGCACCATAATATTTTACTTTTAAAATTTTATTCATGGTTCATTAAATATTGCATAGCCTGTTTTGCAAGGTGGTTACTTGAATATGTTATATTTATTCTATTCTATATTTTATTTTACAGATGGGTATGGACACATTTCTTGCTTGTTGAGCCTAGATGGCCTTTCTACTTGTGACTGAAGTGGGAAGGACAAAGGTTTTTTATGTCATCGTTGACCTGGCTGAATTTGATGAACACTTCAAGGCACTTGGCCCTCTCTCAAACTCTCACAAACTTTACACCTGTATTCAAAGAACTGTCTACAACATGGACATTAGATGTGTCAAAAGAAACCCCAAGAGTGAAAGACTGACTCTTGAGGTAAAAAGTTTCTGCAATGTTAATGTTTCATAATTAGCAGGACTGCCTCTATTGTGAGCATTGTTTTGTTTATATAATGGAAATAAGATCTTGTTTCAAACAGTCAGACATGCTACTCTCATTTTTGGAGATGAGCATCCCTGAATTCCATTCAAAACAAGATCTTGATTCATCCATCGACTGCTTGCATAGAAAAATCAACTTTAAAAAAATAAATGACAGTCATTGTGACCAACGGTTGAGGGCACAGAGAATTCCTGCTGTCAGTTGGATTTTGCAAAAATAGTATTGTGTCATATGACTTGTTTAAATTGTGTTGATTGTATGATGTGCATTGTTTTAATACAAGTTAAGTTGAAATGGAATTTTGTGGTGGTTTTCATTATTTTACATTTGTAAAAGGGATTATGAACTAGAATGCATAGCATTTACACTGTATTTAGTGAAGAAAGAGTTACTATTGAATAGTGTAACATGAAGAGCACTCTACACTATTTCTACTTCATAAAGTGTTAACTTTAAAGTGTTAAAACATAGCAATATAGAGTTATTAGTTTTTCACTATTCACTAGTGTAAAAAAAAATCAAATCTTTATCAGTGTCAAATTCAATTATGAGTAGTGTGGTTACATGACTTTACCAGTGTTAAGCCTTTTGCACTTTGGAAAGTATAGTTTTAACTCATTTTATTGTGGACCCCATATGGCATGGTAAAAGCGTTAAAATTAACAATATATGAGTTGAATTGACACTCGAATTTACTGTGTACCTTTTGTTGGATGGTTGAGTGTTTTTGCTCCATATCACGCTTCTCTTTGGCAGCATCCACCACCAGCTGGTCCAACTGCAGGAGACAGCACTCATTAGTCAATATTATAAACCGCTCATTCACACCATTTTTCACACTCTTAAATTATCTCTAAGAAGTAATGTCTAAATTAAACAGGCCATATTGAGACAAGGGAGACCAGTCTATTTTCAGGATGCTTCACTCAAAGTTATTGGAAACAATATATTGATATTGTGCCAGTTTCACCTCGAGCAGTTTAATCTTGTTTTTTGACCTACATCTCGCATCACATTTTGAGCACATGCGAGCAAGACAACAAACAAAAAATAAGAAATATTAGTTAGAACCTTATTTCTAATTGAATAATTGTGTCTAGATGTACTTAATAGTAAGAGGGACCTTAATGAAGTATAACACATCTCTTAAATAACAGTGAATGATATTGAATACAATTATTATCTCGTATCATACACAGAAGAAATTTTGTAACTAATGAAAAAAGTGCCTTTATATTATAGGCCTATCATGATAATCACTATACTGACTTATTGAATTCACACAATACACAGATGAAACAGTGATTTTGGGGGTTAATATTTATCATGGGAACTTTACTCTCTTCTCTTTAATCTCTACTAATGGGAAATTAGACTGGAAATCTTTCTATACTATGATGACGTTTTAGTTGAAGGATGAATCATGATAATGATAATGATAATGAACTTCTATGATTCATTATAGATGAAAACTAACTGCTAAATAGTTTTGGGAATAATTCTGCTTTATTTGGGTTCAATATTATTGCCTATATTTACTTCAGCAGTATATCACACTTCAAAATTTGCTACTGTTTCAGGCCTTTTATATTATAAACAATTTGAAAAACAGCATTCACATTATAATTCAATATGTTGGCCACCTCTACTCTTGAAGACTCCATCTATTGACTTACATATGATATTGACATTAGCAAAACCCAAAACAGTAACAATGGAAATGGAACCTGGATTTCGTATTATTAAGGAAGGAAGTGAGAGAGCAGCAGACACATGACATCAGATGGTAAATATATTCTGTTATCAAACCAAAACAACTGCACATCTGTCTCCAACACTGTCCCTTACCTACACTTAACCAGCTCTAATAAATGACCTGAAGGGAATACATTCCAGAAACACACAAACACACTAGTTCCAGTAACATATCCAACCTGTTCACAACTCCTCCACACTTCTCTGCATAGCCGCTCCACTTTCTTTAGCTTCATGTTGAAAGAAATATTCCACAGTATAGGTTGTTCTGAGCTCAGAGTAATAAGAATTTTAGTTCATGCAGTCTTTAGAATTTTGCTTGCTCCATAGATTTAAGAGAAATTACAATTGCAGGTATTCCATTTGCTCTGTCACTTGCTTAGGGCAGTTAATGTTGCCTCTCCATCTAAAATTTGACTACATTTTAAACAGCAAATGACGAGAGACTATGGGTTTCAAGCTATGGCAACTGTCCTCTGTTGTTATAGCGATGCCACACTTCAAATAAAGTCTTTTGAATGGAGAATGGTCCTTACAAAGTCTTTGAAATCAGAAAAGAACAATTTGAACCTATGAATACACAATCCAAAAATCTTAACAGTAAAAATCTTAAATTATAAAAGAGAAAATAATCCCATGTAAATTTATCCTTCAGGCCAAAATTGCTCAGTTTGTAAATCCACATATCTTCGGCTGGATATCTCTGCCGCACAATGCTGCCGCCTCAGAGCCACCTTTCAATACTGGGCCGTGTTGAGTGAGAGAACAAGACTAACTCTCTGTGGGAAAACCCTCTCCAGCTCTCTGCTCTTCCTCATTCCTGCACAGTTCAGCTTCCACCCACTGCATCCAGATAATCATCTTATAGCCACATACTAGTCTTCCTATGTTTATCAGAAGATGCACAAACATTTGAATATCGCAGAGCTCAAGAAGAGGCCAACTTGAGGTGAGGCATGAGGGAGAAGGGGTATAGAATAAGGTAAAAATGATAAATACACTACATTTCTACTTTCTAGGGATGTCAAGAGACTATTTGTTTATGTAGACAGAGAGGCATCCAAAAACAGTTAAGCCTGTGAGCTAGGCTGAAAAACTAAAGCTGTAGAAAGAAATGGGAACAGCAGTTTTTTAGAGCTCCCAGTTTTTATTTTAATTAATGCCACATGTTTCTTCAGACAAGAGTATTTGTTTAATCAGCAATTGTGAATATTGAGGCCACAACATAATTATACAAATTAAAAGAATATGAACTGCGATAATTTTAGAAGCTGGTCAGTGGTGCGTTTTGGTCCTAAATTTAACCCATTTTAGTCTTGACGTGGTCCTGTTCTTGTATTCAGTTAGTCCTGGTCTTCTCCTGTTTTTTTGTTTAATCCAGGTTTAGTACAAATTTTGATGTGGTGAATGTACAACTGTGAATGCGACTCAAGTCAATATAGTGTAAAGAAAGCAAAAGAAGATAAAATTATGCCGAAAACTGAACAAAGATTTTCTTCAGTTGATATTATTTAACCTTCTTTTGCAATGGAACCCACCTGGGTAACAGAGACACCGTTCAAAAAAGCAGATCATATACTAAAAGATTTGTAATTAAACAATGGGAATGACTTTATTTGGTCGTGGTGTCAAGAAAATACTTAAGTAAGAAAATTGAGTATAAGTCCAGATACCGAAGCAAAAAATACTCAAGTAAAAGAAAAAAATATCACACGAAAAATTCTACTTAAGTATGTCAATTTTTTCCTAGCTGTTTTTATTTGTATATGACCTTGATAAAATTAAAACCTTCAATACAGCACTTGACTACTTTTACTTTGTTACGTTCCATCACTGGGTATCAGTAACTGTGAAGAATCCTTAAAATATAATTTCTTCTAACAATAATCTCAACACTAAAATTTGATATCATGATATGCCTACTACATGCATGTCTACAGTCGGTAAACAGCATTGTCCTCACAAGTATAACAAAATCCATAATGAATACATGACCTATAGTTGCCCTTCAGTCAGCTTTAAATAGCTCAGTATTTGCTTATAGTCAGTGTATTTAGAATGAATGTTCCTGGAATATTGCAGGATGAGCACAGTGCTTATTTTTTCAGGGATTTTGAAATAAATGTTTAAACAGGAAGTCTCAAATAACCTAACACAAGTGCAACAAGCCAAACTAGACTGAACACAACCACACAACCACGTGTAACAAAAATCCTATTACGTAATAACTGTTATCACTAATTAAATATTGTTTATCTTGACAATACACTTCCTGGAGATAGGGTAACATTTTCAAGTCAATTTTTCAGACTGAATATCAAAAGCCAATAGCAGTGTACATTAGTTCTATGTAAAAATTTATCTGTAAAGGTTAAACAAAGGAATGAGGTACCTGTCCTCCGAGCTGTTTCATCAGGGGCTGGAGTTCACTGAAGAGGTCATAGCCTTGATGGAAAAATGTCAGGTGGGCGTACATAAAGGAAAGCATCTGCAAACAAAAGACAAAGAGGTCATTGTGTGAATAAATGTCATTAGAAAATTTAAAGTAGTTATAGTATAATAGTTACCGATTTTAGGATTTCTGATCTTCTTTTGGACTGTAGGACATTAATCTAAATGTTGAAAGAAAAAATAGACAAAAGCATAATGTAGTATGTGTAATATAAGTGACACTTTTGAGGTGCATTTCAAAACCAGCACCATATAAAAGTAACAGTCCAGGAGGAGGGACTACAGTACACAAAAGTCATTGAACTAAAAGTAGAAAAGGTCAAATGAATGGCTTTAGAGAGAGCTGTTCCCCAAACATGGCTGAATGGCAATTCCCACTACTGTCACCAGAGGGAGCTCTCTATCACATATTTTATGGTTCAAACTATTCATATTACCTTTTACAACTTATCAATGGTACTGTTCTGTTTAATACTTGTGCTAATGAATGACAGAAGGAATATCATGCTATATATTATTCTTTTATTTCATAAAGAAAGAATTCATTGTATTTAAGTATAGGTCAGCACGCAACTAAGAAAATCTTTTATATCCGCTGTGGTCAGCAAATTTAATTGCTTGTGGTTGAGATTTTCACAGAAGCATTGGCCATAGTCGTTTTTCACGAGTTCTGATTCAATTTCTGTGCTATTATGGTCACACACACTTCTACAACTCTCTCCTTCTTTATATCAAGTACTAAGTATTGTTTTATAGGATTTAATGGTTGAAAACAACTTTTTTGCTAATTTTAGGTCAAATACTCAGCATCACACAGTAAAAGAGGTATATACTTTTATCATTAAACAGGTCTCAAAACCTTTCTCATAGAGATTCTATGTCTTTTTCTCTTCGCTTGTGTATAATGAGTGGAACTACCACAAAAGACGATAATATGGAGCAGAACACAACTGAAGACAAAACTGCTGACAGAAACCCCCTAAATCTTTAAGGTTGTTGAAATGTGCTATGCCAGCAACAGAGCTTATAGATTTCTTCTAAGACAGCCCAGGCTTGAAGTAATTTCGCAGCCTTTTTATATAAGATCACTGGTTTATGTGAGATCACTGGTTTATGTGGGTGTAGGTGTAGGTGCACAGAGTAAAAGTCAAATGTGTTTGAGTAGCAAATGTGATGCCTAAAAACAACATTCAATTATTTTTGTTTAGACATGTAACTAAGCAATATTTAAAAAATCAGAGAGCCAGAACAGCTGTGTCTCATTCACCAGAGTGCTGTTGACTCAGTCCTCTAAGCATGACTCAGCAGGTTGTGGTCCCATAATAAGGTCAAACAGAGCAGTGTGACTCTGATAGAAGCTGTACCTGTAGGACATAGTCGAGGACGATGTGTCTGAAGCACTTGCGTGTGGCAGTGAGGATATTAGTGGCTTCCTCCACCTCGTGCTGCTTATTACGTGGGGCCTGGGCATTCTTGATAAGCGCTGCCTCCTTCTCTTCGCTCACCTTGTCAAACTGCTTTTTGGCATCTTTAAATTTACGAAGGTCACTAACAAAAAGAGGTATAATTTTTAAGGTTAGCATCTGGCCATGTCACATCTAACTTCATCCACTGCACAGAGTTGTGTCTTTGGTCAAATGACTAAAGTATCTGGCCGATTCTAACACAAAAGGAGATATCACTGTGTGATGTATTTGCTGTAGTGTTTCTTTACTTGAGCAAGATATCATAAATATAAAATATTCAGTATTCTTGGTATAACTACAACCAAATGTATAGATCATTATATGTGAGACAAGTGATTTTGATTTGCTGAATTTCTGTGTCTCTCTTCAAACTTCTGTGACTTGACATGAATAAAGGTGATTTCACAGAGCTGTAGGCGCTGTGTTTCCTGAGTGATGATGCTGTTTGTTTGTGCCAAAAACCAAAGTGTTAATCTCTAAAAGGATCAGAGCAGATGCCCTCATCATGTTTACAGCCTAGAATCAATGACGCATTTTGTTTACTCACTCTTTTACAAAGGTCTGTAGCTGAGTCTTGATTGATCTTTGGGCCTGGTCAAATAATATCTGTAAAGACATAAAACACTGTTATTCCTTCATAAAGAGAACATACAACAATAAAAAAAAAAAACACATAATGATCTTATGGTTAGCACTTGGCCCTTAATCTTACATAGTATTTTTTAAACATTATAGGCTACAATTAAAGATGTAAATGTGCACAATCACAGTGTTTTAGTGAAAGCCCCTCTTAAAGTAGCTTGGTTATAACTTATGACGTGTCCTGCTTATTCTTGGCTCTGAGTCACATAGCCTCATTAACCTTGAGAGTTTCTTCAAAGGAGACGTCTGCAAATGGCTGTTCTTTTGTGCTTCCTTTTGAAAAATACCTTAGTGTTTTAGGGGTCTGTTGGGACAATCAGCACAGTGTTACAAAGACCCCGCCACAAAGTGACATACGGGGTCTCTGAGGGCATCATATGTGGACAGACTCTGAACCAACAGTCAGCTGATAGGACCAGCTCTGAGTCACAGGCTTGGGTTATCTTTGTAGTGACTTGTAACACAATGGAGCAAGTGGGCTGGACATTTTCTGTCATAGTCCAATATTGTATCTTAGTTTTTTACTTGCTTTTCATGTTCAGATATAATCCAATGACAAACAGTTTGATTTCCAGGATATAGTGTTCTGATCTGGGGTAGCCTTCTCATCAGTTGATGTTTTAAAAATTTTGAAAAAGAAAAAGTCTGCATTTCTAACATTAAGCAGTGGTAACTGTTATTTCTGACATATATAGCTTGAAGCTTTTAATGAGAATGTTTTTGAGGATATGAAAGAGGGAAAGAACAGAGGATCGTATTCTTTTCTTTTTATTTTCAATGGAATTTTTATTTATTTTACATGATCTCAAAGGCAGTATTATTATCAGCTGTTCATGTGTATACACCTACACATATGTATGTATGTATGTATGTATGTATGTATGTATGTATGTATATATATATACACGTCTACCCAGACTTTGTTACAGCTCATCTCTCCATATAAGGCAATAAGGCATTGTTGTTTAATACCGTGTGATAGTTGATCATCTCTTGAAGACTCTCTGCGAACTTTGTGAGGCTCGACTGTGGAGAGAAAGCACAGCAATGAACTAAACAAAGCAACAATAACAACAATCAGTCTATTCATTATTAAACTCAGTAAACAATGTATTAGCAACAACAACTACAACTACTACAACTACTACTACACAGGACAAACCAGAAGTTGTATTTTGTCATGCATAATTTAAACTAATAATAACACAATAAGGGAACTAAACTCAGGGCCATTTAATGTCCAAATTATAATAAAATAAAAGATAAAAGATATTTGCAGATGAAAATGTGCCAAATGTTGCATGCAAGTCACCATTTTGTAAAATCCACATGAGGAGCCCAAATCTGATCCATGAAACTATCTTGTTTTACTGGCTGGTTAGTTTACCTCAATGACCTCATCTTTAGTGGACTGCTGGGCCAGTTCCCGGATCCCATTTACAAACTGCTTGTTGGCTGCATTGTAAGCTTTCCCAGCATCGATCATCCCAATACACAACTTCACCAGCTGTCAAGAGATAAAAGGCAAAGATAGTAAGGACAAGAAATAAAAGTCACAATAAATACAATTTACATGTGGATATCAATGGGTAATGGATAGCAGATCACAACAATCATACTCAAGTTTCTTTAAATACATAGTTTCCTATCAGTGCTGCAGACACATTTGGAGCAAAGACTATTACACTTGTCTAAATGGTGATAAATAAGTTTAATGCCATGTGGAACATTCCAAGCACGACACAAGCAGGTGGCAGACCCTCCATCAGAAAAGCAGAAAATCTATGCATTTAACCCCTATAAGATAATACAAATAATATCAGACATTATACATAAATAGAATATCTGTATAATTTGGATAGCAATGTCACACTTATGTCATCACAACAGGAGTCCAACAGTCTTAAGCCCACAGGGAACAGATGGCCATTCTTATAGTGTCTTGCTGGATAACATTTCTGCTTATAGCTCACATAAGCCTTTTGGAAGATCGTGATTTCAACATTTATAATCTGTGTGTGCGCATCTATTTTGCTTTATATTTAAAAACAAAAATCTTATAAGCCTATGTAAACTACGCGCGTGTGTGTAGCAGCTCCACCCATGAGCACATGCAAAGACATACATAGACATGATCACAGCCATATTTTTGTGACACGCAGTCCGCCCACTCCACAGATCCTTCCTCTGGAGCGCAAGGGGAAGTGAAGCCGACTGACTCATGGAGGTGGGGCCCCTGTAACTGTGAGCCCAACAGAACAATAGACTGGGACCTTCCACACTCCAGGTCTTACTATGGGCTACTGGGAGCTCAGAGCAGCGGAGGAAATAGTACTGTTCTAATATCAGGCCGAGAGCCAAGTCTTAGGTTACTTCAGACATTAAACAAGGTGTAAGACAGTAGGGCTGGCTGACATGGTAACATAATCTTTTGTATTGTATGATCTTCTTTTTTTATTTGATTTAATTTATTGCTTTACAAACTACATATGGCTTTCAATATTAATTTCACAAACACACACAATACAGACTTAATTGAACACATAAAAGTTATCCAGTTTTTCCTTTAAATGGTCCTATATTTAAAAAAATATTGACTCTTTATAATGTTATAATGGAGTTGTGTTTTGTTTCATTCACACATGTTTGAGCAATCCTCTATTATTAGCATGTCAGTATCTCCAATGCTCAAAATTCTCTGTTCCACCTTATGAACAGCTACCTTTAGTCCAATAGAGACTGGAAATTCCAGGGCTGTAATGTATGGAGCATGTGGAGTTTAACAAATACAATGGAGCACTTCCTGTATTACCACATGACATCACCAGATAGAAGAGGATAGAGTGTTTTAGCCTTCAAGAGAAGAAATAAATATGCAGGGTCTGTGTGTTAATTAATCAAGTGTGAATGAAACAAACCAAAACTCGAGGTATGTTTCTAATTAGGATACCACATTATAACAGAACAGGAAATAGCCCTTAGCATATTTTTGACTATATGAAGATATTAGATCTTAATTTAATTGTAATTCCATAACTTGCACACTGCACAGCCGTATGACACAGGTGAACTTAAAGGACCCATATTATACTTTTTTCTGACTTATGTTATACTGTTGTTTCCTCATCCCAAACATAGTGTAACGTTTCATTTACACATGATTAACACAAATCCTGCATATTTTGGCTGAGTTTTTCTCTCATACAAAAAACACTCCACAATGTGATGTTGTATGGTAATACATGAAGAGCTCCACTGTGTTTTTAAATTTCATTCACCTTCACTAGATGCATTAGGATAATGTCTGCCCTGGAACTGCCAATCTGTAATGTACAAAAAGGTAAACGGTAGCTGTTAACTTAAAAATGTATATGAAACTCAACTCCAGATAATATATATTGATGAGGTTACAACATTATAACATGACTTAAAGCATACATTTTGTGCAATATAGAACCTGTAAATGATAGTATAGCCTTTGCCCCAAATATCACTGTGAATGCCGGGGTAGTTTTGTTCAACAACTAAGCAATATATATGATGTTTTTCATGGGTGGTACTCACTTTGTCCAGTTTAGATTCGAGCTCGCACACATCCCCCTCCACTTCCTCTATGGTGGCTCTGTGGAGGCAAAACACAAGCCTGTTAACTTCATGATTCAATAAATATTTTTGTACCAAATGAGGACAAATATGCAAAATGTAAAGCAATAGCGCTAATATAAGGACATCACGCTGGCACAAAGAAGCCAAGAGGAGACAGCCAAACAGAAGGCTGCCATTTTGGGTAGTGCTGTGGGGCTGAAATGAGAACTGGCACAGTGCCCTTTGAAACATGACGAAGCACCACTCGCTCCACAAAACACCACCCTACACAAATGTGCTGCAGCAGACAAAAGACCCAATACATGTGTAATTTTTCTTTTATGTTCAAAACCAAGGAGCAGCTGGAAGTCAGAAGGCAAAAAACTAGTGATTTTCTACTGGTTACAAACTTTATCTTGACAGATGTAAATAACTGATGTCATCAACATTCCCTGGGGGTCTGAAGCTAACGGAGGCACTTCTCTGTTTGAAATGCTTTTAGACTTTAACCTTTAAGCTTTGTTTAAACCCAATCTGACAATAAAGAGTTGATTTAACTGGAATTACAACAGGTGAGTTGATCTGTGCTGTTAAATAAGTCTCTTCTTTCAAATAATATTACAGGCACAACAGCTAGTTAACATAGCCAACAGTTTTTTTGTTTTTTTTCAATTAGCCACTCTCACCTTTTTGTTGAAAATGAAACACCTAAACAGGACCACAAACACTCAGATTAATCACTGACTTCTGAAAATGCAATTATTTAGGTAATGTCCTCTATAAAGAATGAAAACTTTTGTTGCCCCTGTATTTTAGACCTCTGCATGTCCTGAATTGGATATGATTATTTTAATATTTTATCTATTCATATTTCTGTATTCTATCAAAAATTAATGCGGTGTTTACAATGTGGACTCTGAATCCTGGTTTTTAAACATACATCACATATCTAAGTGCAATTCAGAGTCAGAAGAAAATGCTAAAAGTTTTCCCAGAATTGTGCAGCCCTAGTAGTGAAACCAAGGAGCAGCCAGAAGACTGATTCACAGAAAAGTTCATTCATTTCAAGTTTTTTATTTTAATTTGAAATGAAAATCATTTCAGTTAAACACATTGTTTTCATAGTTCAGAGAGATTAGAGAGTGTTTCAGGTGGTACAGAGGAGCATCAGGGGAGGGACAGCAACCAGGTTGCTCCAGCTGTTTGATCCAGTCACAGCTGCCAACATCTGCTAACATCTGCCAACAGACAGCATCCTGGACTCTATTCAAGTCAGTGTACACCTTTCATCAGAACGTTTTAAAATACACAGTAACGTCTGATTCTGGGTAATCACAAATTACTAATTGTGATGTTTTTGGGGATTATCCTGAGATGAGAAGAGATTTTTTGCCAACTATCAGAAATTTAGCTAAAAGGTGGAAGTTAGGCCCATCACCATAATTACTATATCATTACTATCATTACATATACAATATTGTTAAATATATGAAATATGAAAGCTGGAACAATATATTTTGAGGCTCAGTATTTATCATGGGTACTTATTTTTGCAACATTGAGGAGACTTTTACCATTTTTAAGTAATAATGCAAGATTTGAGCTGTAGAAAATAGATAACTGTTACAGCTACTTATTGGTTAATTCTGCCTTTTAGTAGTTGCAGCTTTTACTGAAAATTTGTTTACTGAGATTCTCCTGCTTCGTGTCAGTGGAATGAAGTAGTTTCAATATTATTGTTTAAGGCAGTATGTCTCTGTTGCAATATATATTGCTTAAAAATATTTTTTTTGTCATGATAGGCCAATGCCAGTAAACTAATCAAGGAACCATCTCAAGTAATGAACATTATGAGAAATTAACCACAAAAGTGCAGAAATGTCACTGTACAACAACAACTACAATATGTTTTACTTTTACTCTCTCAAAAAACTCTCTCAAATAACTGCGAGGAAAAGGAGTGCAGTGCCATAGGTGAACAAGCCCATTATTCAGCAAAATCACTTGAGGAACTGAATGCCAAACCAAACTGCTGATTTCACAAAAGCTGCAATTAGTCTAATTTAAGGAAGTATGCTCCCTGCTTGTGCTTTATAACTGCAGCCAGGCTTTACCAAAGACCCACAATGGAACATACTAGGTTCACTTTGTCAATTGAAGTTAAGTTTAGTAGTAACCAAAACACAGAGCAATAAACTGAGATTAACTACACAATGAGGGCATGGCTTAGGTCAAAAGCAATAAAGAGTGGACTTCAGTTTGGGAGGATTTAATGAAGTCATGTTTAGTGTTGTCACAATACTAACATTACAAACTTGATTTCAATATTAGTCTGGAAACTCTAGATTACTATGTGGTGTAATACCACCAGTGTAAAGTTTGGACACACCCTCTCATTCAACATTTTTGTTTTGCTTTATTTGAGTTATTTAAAATGTTCTTCTGCATAATTCCATATATCTCTCTTCACATATTTGATGTCTCTCGTATGAATCTAAAATGAAAGTAAACAGAGAAAAAAAAAAAACATTGAATGAGAGGGTGTGTTAAAACTTTTGACTGCTAGTGTATCAATGTAATCCCTCAGTCATCCAGGTGTGTCCATGGGCATGTACTAGTCTATGTAGTCAGAGCAAGATCATTCTATTCAGGTAAGGTTCATTCCTGTCCTGTGAATGTGACTTATTTTTTTACTATTGATACTTGATCAAAACGCACAAATCAATTATCTGATTTCCGATGCTTTTGACAACCCTAGTCATATTGGCTCTGTTAGGTGCACAATACAAGGAAAAGGTTTACAGACAGTCACTCTACATTTACTTGTTAAAAAGATGCTCAGATTAGAAGAAGATTACTCAGGCTTTTTACACATATTAGCGTTGGCATTTCCTTTACAGGTTTTAATTATATGTGATAAGAATACCAAAGAGCTGGATGGATGCATGTAAATACTGATGCACCAAAGGGAGTGTGAGAGCCAAGAACAGTTTAAATATCTATACCTATTAAATATCTACTTCCTTTTTTCATGACTTCACCATTTCACGCACCCTAAGCCAAACAATGTTGCCGTCAAAGTTGCTAGGCTGCAAAGAGGACCAATAAAGATAAGTTAAAGTGAAGTTCATGATTCATCTGTATACCTGAGGGGGACAAAACTACGTAGACTTATGTTTTTTGATGGTTACTCTTAAACAAAGAGTCATTTCTGCCAATGATGCATATGACTTTTAAAACATGAACATTGATGCGGAAGTGAGACATTTGACCATTTCCTTTTATCGGTGTCCATGTGAAGTT